CATCGAGTGCTTTGCCATAATCAAATAAACCAAATTAAACCATGCAAATCTGCGGAGACATGTAGGATTTCAGATGAGAAATTATGGTGAATTAACTTGTACTAACACTGGTTAAAGAGGCAAATAAGTTTTACAGCTTGAGTGTTTTAGACATTTATAAACTGTACAAAATGAAAAATATACAATCATTACTAATAAACTTCGTTTAATGAAGGAAAAAACAGGCACATTTCAGCTACTCTATCAGAAATGACTGCAGAAAACTATAAGAGCAGAGGAATAGTATGTTTCTTAATTACTAAATGTTGAAGTATTAGCTTCCACTAAAGCCGTTATTAAGTGTTAAACCCACTCCGCAATAGGCTGGTTTGGTTTAATCGATTTTGGAAAAGCGTTGGAAGGATAACTGCCTAAAGGGAGCGAAGATTTCTTGTAGGACTTTCTAAGGGAAACCGACTCGAGCACAAGTTACACATTGGGAAAACCACGAAAACACCCATGCAGCCAGCTCGTTCGCAGGGCCCACCAGCGGCCGAGCGGTAAAGTCGCTGAACACTGGTAGTTCGGTCCGAGGTTCGAATCCCCGCGGACGGGCTGGCTGCATGGGTGTTTTCGTGGTTTTCCCCATGTGTAACGTGTATACGAGCCAGTTTCCCTTAGAAAGTCCTCCACAAAAGGCATCCCTCCCCTTAGGCAGATAGCCCTAGTGTGCTTTGCCATAATTAAATACACACGTTCGCAGGATTTGAGCATCGAACCGAACGGCCGGTCAGCCACTCGTGGGTCCACACGGCAGTAGCATCAAACCAGTTAGGTTATCGAAAACGAGGCTAATCAACAGAACTCTTATTTTAATGAAAATTCGTGGGATCAACAAAACTACAGCCACTGATAGTTATGTTTCTTCTGAATTAAATCTGTATACGTAGATATAGAAATAAATTAAAATCGCAGGAACTGATGATACTCGTAACTGCGTTTTAAACCACGCACTTTGCATCATTTTCTGTTGTACCTGTAATAAACTGAAACTAAACACATTTATTTTTCTGAATGAAATTTCATTCTGCATTTTTTACACAGATGATACGCTAAAAACAATGGGAAGAAAAAGTAATGTTGCCAAAAAGTTCCTGAAATTGGCTGTTGTCATAATATGCTTGACAGGATTCTTGCTGCAGACTTTAGAGTTCTTATTCCTGTACTGGACGTACCCAACTGTCGTGGACATCCAAGTGTCAGTTCCTTCAGATATCGAGATGCCTGGAATATCCTTATGTAGTCACAATGGGTGAGTTATACTATATTCATTTAGATAGTCTTAATGATATTTATCAGAAAGTTACTTTTGTTACCTTATGTTCATGATTTATATTCAATTCAGCAGTTCTTTTATCTTAAACGCATTAATTAATTCCTTATAATGTTCATTAATTAATTGATTTATATATTCAAGAGTATTCATATTTATTAAATCACCGAATTTTAATGATTCACTCTTGTGTAAAATCTTGCTATACATAATTCTTCGCTGCGTTTTCCGTTTGTAATATGAACTAGATCCAAATCATTTTAAGAAAGGATAATCTCTCTAAGTTCAGCTAATATGAATATGCAATTATTTGATAAACGTATAAAGTATTTCTCCTGTCTTCTTGGCATGCCTTCGTGGTGTGGTGGTCAGCACGCTGGGCGCATATTCCAGAGGTCCGTGGTTCGATTCCCAGCGAAGCCGTTGCTAATATTTTGTCTTGCATTTACGAAAGCAATATTCCTAAATGATCCGTTTTCCATATTAACCATAGCTTTATTGCCCATATCAAAAAATAAATAACTCGGTCACTTTTGTTACAGAATTTTCTTATATCTGTGAAAATATGGAAAAAACTTTGATTTCCTAGAACTTCAAATACTTCACTTTGTCTCAAATTCTATAAAATTTTGAATAAAAGCGATGAATAGCTTTGGTTAAAAGAATCTTTATTACTGTGAACCCGTAGAAGCTAAGATAAAGTGCCTGAATATTTACCTCTTTCGACCTGGCTGGTGGCGTTTGCACCTTCATTCGTAAAGTTCTATTCATCAACAGTAGACATTATATACATTATATGACTTACAATAGTTCAGGTTGTCAAATGGATTTATTACAATTCAGTATGGCAATTGCAGAAAGTTTACATTTTCTGGCTTCGCTGTCTACACGCCATCACGTCGAGGTAGACCGTAATCAGGGACTACAAGTCCTAAGAGGTCATCCATTCCAGCAAATCGTTAAAAACCTCACGTGCATCCTATACGTAACATATGACAATATTTGACACTGACCAATACATAAAGGGCGTACTAAACTGGAAACTTGCAAAATGGTTCCAGAATTTAGTAAGAAAAATGCAAAGTACAGCTTAGTTTATCTATATTGTGTTAAAATTTCTATACACAACAAATATTAGTAACATAGTAGTTGGTATTTTTATGAATTTTGAGGCTTGATGGTGGCAATTACCGCGGCATACTAATATCTACAGCTCAAGTAGAACTTGTTAATATGTTACAAGGGAGTTCTTAATACTTATAAACAACGTTTTTAGACTTTTTCCCCTCGTATAAAAAAAATCCAAGGCTGAAAGGAATAACTTGATAATTCATTATTCGAGTATTTTTCATACTGTGATAGTTTTACTTTTCCAATGATAATATTGCCAAGGTATTATAGCCTCTTACTAAAATTTTTATAAAGCAGGTAATATTTTTAACATTTTCTTAACATGCATGCAAATCTTACAAAAAACAGACGATCACATGTATTTATGTATTTCATGTGTTATTCTGAATCGTTAATTTACAGCTTCAAGCCGGACGTCGTGTGCAAGTTGAGAGGATGGTGTACTATGCCTCGGATGTTTAATTTTATTGATTTATGTGCTCCTTTCCCAATTGTTTGCGGCTCTCATGGAAAGCCACCGGAAGATTTTCGAGTAAGTCCATTGAAAAGATATAAAAGATTTCACACACAAATTAAGTTTTTGCATAGACATTAATGAAATTTTGTTTATTATACAGACTGGTCAAAGTGTAGATATTTTTGTGATTTTTATTTAATTTACTTTTTTATGTTTTGACATAAAAAGCCATAGCAAACATCTAATTAAAATTTTAAAACGACTTTTCAAATGTACAAGATTAAAGAATAAAAGAAATGACATGAAAATAAATGAATGATTTACGTTCACAACATAAACCTTACAAGGGAGGATTTTAAGTAAGGTTTACAACATAAACCTTACTTAAACTACAAGGGTGTTGTTTCATTCTTGAACTCTCAAATTTTCTCAATATTAAATAAAGGAATGTGGTGGAGTGGCCGAAACCGCTACGCAAACCCTGGGTTGTGACACAGGGTTTGCGTACCTTGCATAATAGCCTACAGTACCAAGATAGCTACGTATCTGTGTTTTAGTAGCGGGAGTCGGAAAATGTCTGAGTGCTTGAATCTTGGCCTCACTAGGCGACCTTTCCCAGACCCTACTTCATGACCCAGAACTTTCACATTTTCTTGGGCAAATTTGCATTTCGAGGGCTTAATAATCAATTTAGCCTCCTGAAAGCGACCTAAAACCACATCCAAATCTTCCATATGTCTGTCCCAAGTCGGCGAAAAGACTGCAATGTCGTCAATATACGGTAGAACAAAATTGTCCAAACCTCCTAAAACTTGAACGATTAAGGCGCATTTAAAATCCCAAACATCATTTTCTTCGGGATGAAAGATCCAAAAGGCGTCACAAATGCAGTATACCTCTGTGCACGCTCTGTGAGTGGTATCTGGAAATATCTTTTGGTTAGATCCATGATTGTGATAAATGGAGCTGCGCTGACCTTTTCGATTAACTTCATCAATATTGGAAAGAGGGAAAAATTCGTTCATAGTTTTTGAATTTGATTTCCTATAGTCTATACAAGGACGAGAATACTTTTCCTGGGACCTATACTAAGATCATAAGAGATGCATAATCAGATTGCCCGACTTCTATAACTCCTAACTCAAGCAACCGCTTAATTTCTTCCCTTAAGATGTCGGTCTGTCTCGTCGACATTCGGTAAGGCCTGACTCTAACCGGAGTCTAATCCAGCAATTCAATATCCATTTCGACCAAAGACGTACAGCCGGGGTCGGACGAAAACACCGCTCCATACTTCCCTATAACTTCCTAGAATTTTCCTATTTCCTCTGCCGAAGCTCTTTTTCTGGCTTACTATCTCCAACTATTCAATACAAAGCCTTCAATACCCTTTTCAAGGTGGAATGCAACCTTTCAACAGAATTGCTTTGAGGGTGACACACAGAAGAATGATACACTTTAATTACAAACTTACTAAAAAACTAAGATGTAAGTTTACTGGTAAACGATCTACCCAAATCACACTGAATTTCCTTAGGGTAACCTGTTCTAGAAAAGATTTGTATCAAGGCTTGACTCAAACTTTTAGAGCTTAAATTCTGTACATTAATGGCATCTGGATATTTATAGAAGCAACACAAATTGACATAATTAAGTATTTAATTTCACGTGAAATAGGGATCAGAGGTCCTACTGCGTCAATATTTAATCTGCTATGTACACTTCTGATACAACAGGCACAATCTTCATTGGGGCTTTATTTTATCCCTATTGTGATCTACACGCTGACAAATATCGCATGTCTTCACAAATTCTTCAATTTCCTGGTAACAATTTGGCTAGAAATAGTGTGTCAAAACTCTATCCTTGGTTTTTGTTACCCCTAAATGACCAGAGATTTCCTCGTGGCATACTTCAAGATCCCTTTCCTAAAAACAAAAGGCACACACAGCTGAAGCTTAACTTCCCTTTTTTTAGAACCTGCCACTCTGAGTAGTCTCTCCTTTATAATTTATAAACTTTATAATTTATAAAGAAAGGAGAAAATGAAAGTGAAAACACTTTCACTTTCTCCTTTCTTCTAAACTAGCGCATGAGTTTTGTGCTTCCGAGAATTCTACTGGTGAAACATCTGCAAGGATAGACCTTTCTTCTGAACTGATGATTGGAATTTCAATAGATTCCTCCGCACTACTTGTTAACTTCTCTTCTTCCGAAAGCTCATTATTCACAACAATTTCACTTTCTATCTCTTCCTCGTGTTCCGATCTGGAATTTAAGTCTTCCGCGCTCGCTCGCTCTAAACTCCTGCGCGCATGCGCCTGACTACGAGTTTCCACAGCAATTAAGAGAACCGGTCGTTCCCTAATTTCTTCTATCAACTGTGCAGTTTTATTTCTTAACAAATAGTTCTCTTTATCTAATTCCTCTAGAGTAACCGCCGCCTCTGTGGTGACCAGACTAGAATCACCTTCAATGGTGACTTTCGCCAAAGGTAAACATTTCCATTCTGTGTCCAAAGGCTGTTTCACCCAAACAGTTTCCACTAATAAGTCACTAGTATTAATCCAAGTACTATTACACAGATCTATTTCAGCTACACTATCTCTTAGATATTCTCTCTCTACCCCATTAATTACTGCTTTCTTTAAATACGGCTCAAAAGACTTTCCTAAACTCTCCGTTCATAAATTATTCACCAGATTAGCCTTATTCTTTTCCAACAATGGACAGTTAGATCGGATATGTCCGTGCCTTCCACATTGGTAACACCTTATTTTCCGCTGTTTCTCGAAACCCGCTTCATTAAAAGCTTGCTCTTTTCTAGGAGCCTCCACTTTTCTGTGCTCCTCTGATTTAATTCTTGACCACTACTTTTCTGGTTATAACTACCATTAGAATTTACATACCCCTCTCTAACTTTCTGAAATTGTTTCTTAAACCCCACTCTCTGTTCTAACCTCCTCGTAACTCTTCGCAAAGCCTCATACCTGTCGCATTTCTCTGGTAAAATGGAAGCTGTTTTAAATTCTTCCCAATTATCTAAGTAGTGCTCTCTTATTTCTAGAGGGACTCACCGCTTAATTTGCTCAGTGAGCATAAGTTTCTTAAGACTTTCAAAATCTTGAACTTCCACCGAATCCAACCAATTCTTCTAAGTACACTCTCAATTCATACAATAAATCCACCTATAACATTTCGTTTTTTTTCTAGAATGTTCTTCAAATTTTGTTTTTAGAGCCAAAGAACTGAGCTTGAGTCTATGCATGAGTAATTTCTTAACATGCTGATAATCACCTCCTTTATCCGCTGGTTCTTTACTATTAACTGCGCTACATCATGAGATAATAAAGGAATTAATTGCGAGATTAATGTTCTCCTTTTGAGCCTGTTTAATCTCATTAATGTTCTCCTTTTGAGCCTGTTTCTCAAATAGAGTACCTCGGTTCAAAACGCGGTACTAGATCTTTCAAATTAACCTTTTTTTTGGGGGGGGGGTTGTTCAACTATCGAAACGGTGGACGCTAAGCTATTACTCAACTACGTTCATCATCTTTAACTTTTCAAATTCAAAAATTCGTTCACGTTCCCGTTTTGTTCTCTCGCGTTCACGTTCACATTCCTCTTTTTCGGCTACTTCTGCTTTTTTCTGCTTAGCCGCAGCCCAAATTCTCGTCGCGTATTCTTTCGCCGCTTCCTCTTCGAATTGCTTGAGACACATTTGTATCAAACTCCTCCGCTAACTCCAACAGCAGAGCTTTAGTAAATTTCCTCATAAACTCACCCATTATGAAAAACTAAAGAAAAAATACTCAAATCCCAAAGACACATTTTCGTAGCACTAAAAAATGACGTAAAAAATCAGCAAACGTAAAAAATTTCGTAGCACTAAAAAATGACGTAAAAAATCAGTAAAAAATCAGCAAGGCAAAAAGGAATCTAAAGATAATTGCGTGCGAACAACAGGACTGAGTGCTTAGTGCTCAGTGCGCTCAAAAAATGCGCTCAGTGCAGTAGAAGAAAACACTAATGGCTGTTGAATCTTGAAAGTGAAAACATAGCATATCGGCGCTTATCTGTGTTACCACATAAATAAGTTTGCGTGAGATTATGCACTGCCTTTTTTAAATTTTTTTAAAGGGATGTTTTCTTAGCATGTTCATAATGTGATTCTCATTCATGCGCTGAATAACAGGAATTAATCTGGTCAAAGCTACTTTGCATTAAGAATTCCTATTTTATTGCAGCCCGTAGATTTTCCAGAATATAATTTACAGAAAAATTAACAAAACGTTAAGAGTACAATCTCAGTACAAAATTAAGCATGAAATAATTGGCACCTTGATGATTGAAGTAAAAACTATGCTACCGTAAGAATGAACTGCTTTAAACTTTCCATATTACTATTTTATTCGTTAATGGTTTGAGTTTCTATTAAATGGATATTCAGTTTCAAATAATTCAATCTCAAGGTTTTAAAATTTAAATGGTTATGCTATATAATTTTAAATTTCGAAGTCTAAAGTCATTTTAATAGTGAACAAATCAACCCATTGCTATGCCTCACCACCGGGGGGGTCACTAAACCCAGGTAGTTCGACCCAGGTTGAAATCCCGGCAAACGATTGAATGGGCGTTTACGTGGTTTTTACCATGTGTATGTGGATACGTGCCAATTTCTCTTACATCCACGAAGGTTTTCCTACCCTTAGGCCTTCACATGCTTTGCTATAATCAATCAAACCAAACCAACGCGTAGAGAAACTTTAAGAACTTTTCGTAGTTGCTTGCTGAAATTATTTTATGATATCAACTCTTTCTGTAATCCTCCACGAAGGCATCCTTTCCGTACGAAGATAGCTTTACCGTAATCAATCATATGCTTTGCAGTAATCAAATAAATCACACACCGTAAACTTTTGGTAATGCAAAGAATGCCGCTTGTACTGTTCCTACGAAACTACATTTTCTCACATCATTCTGGAGCCCACCAGTGGCCGAACGGTAGAGTCGCTGAACACTGGTAGTTTAGTCCGAGATTCGAATCCCGAGAAAGGGTTGGCTGCATGTGCATTTTCATGGTTTTCTCCATATTTAACCTGCATACGAGCCAGTTGTCATAATAAAATAAACCAAACATTATTGTTGAAGATTTTATTTTACTAAGAATTTCATAATTTTTATTTTAAAAAATGAGTTACCGGGCAGAATTAAAGCTATTGGCCGTGTATTGGATAATCATGCTCTATATTATGCGACTGTTAAATACCATTCGATATAATGAACAACATAAACTAAAACAGTTAAAAAAAATATATTGTATCCCTTAGAACGTTCTCCACGAAGGCATCCCCTCTCTTAGAAAGCATTTGATTGCTCTGCTTAAGTTAGGTCAGGTTATTCGAAGCAAGCAAAGCACATGCGATTGCATTCCTTTAATAAATTAAAACAAAAGGGAAAAGAAAATAAAAGTAATTTCCTTGGCTTAGAAAGTAGCTCACGGTACTAGGATTCACAAAACAGACTTCTCAAAACCACAGATATGTGTCTTCAGTAAACTTCGAAACTGATGCTTTAGAAAAACTGGTTAGTAATTTCAAGTGTTTCTTAACAATGAATCAAATCAAACGGAAAAGGAAAAGTTTCAATGTATGAAAAGAAAACTAGATGATATAGAAATCCAGTCGAATACAATGTTAGTAACTAAATTCTTGCTTTTAGTCCGTGCTGTATCTTAGCGACTATCATAATTTTCATATCATCATTCTTACAAAAACCGTATGATAATGTTCTTTTTGTTCCTTTGCATTGAAAATGTACTAAATTCAGTTTCATGAAAGATACTGCTTTTATCACTTGTCTTCTAATCTGTTTCGCTCTTCTTCAGGATTTTTTCTGAATTCAGTTTCGTTTCTTTTTTGCAGGCAGTTTCGGTTCATGGATTTATGTCACAAAACGATCTTAATCAGACAGTTTTGGATATGCTGAGAATACCACTGAAAGATTTCTTTAAATGCAAGATCACTTCCGGAGCTCAAAAACGGGACTGCGAGTAAGTCAGAATTACCAAATGTGACTTTTATTTCTACATATAATAAAAGAAAGAGTCTGTCTGTGTGTCAGTGTGTATGTCTTTCGTTCGCGCTGCGCGCAAGCTAACAGACCCACGGCTACGAAATTTGGTACATAGGTGCATCTAGACAAGAGCCAGTGCTCCTCGAAGCGATTTCTTCGAAATTCGAATCAGAATTTTTTTTTATTTTATGTTTTGGGACGAAATCTCGTCATTTTTAGACATAATGCGCTATAGGAAAGCGAGATTTTACTCTACACACTCCATTTTCACATCGTCATGAAATGTAGGCACTTCGCTATTTTACGAACTTAAAATAAATTCCGTGTTTCAATAAATCGATTAAATACGAATTTATTTAGCAAAGTGAGCTTAACACCTTTTCAAGGGATTTTTTCTAAAAGTTTATTTTTAAAAATGTACAATTTATTTATTTATTTATTTATTTATTTATTAGTCCAAAGGGATTTGAATCCCGAAGGACTATTAGTTTCGTTTTGGCATTTTGCGTCGGACTCATAAATGTCGGTTCACTTTTCAAACTGTTGCCACAAAATGTTAGAGTCCTGCATTATATTTGAAGAAATTAAATAATGAAAAATCTGCATAAATGTATGTATATTTCTCGTATTGTGATAAAACAACGGTACATACAGTCATCGAATTTTGAATAACGTAATCCTCCAACGAATATGAGCATGTGGAAGACCAAATTTGAAATTTGAAATTTGTTTTATGATCGATTTCCTATTTTTTAAAACTTTGACGAATTTTTGATTAACAAACTCAAGGATTTCAAAGCGAGCAATGGCAACGTTGTGCAGAAAAAACATTTTTATCTCCAGCGCGTGAGTCTCTGTATCGGAAATTCTAAAGATATGCTCGTTTTTAAAACTATTTTGCGATATTGCTGTTGCACTGGATCTTATGGTTTAAGTGCGAGGAACATGATATTTAATAAAGAAAGGTAACACACAAAATGTTTAAAAACGCCCCTTTGGACGTAATTTAAAATCTGAAACATTTCAGATTTTTTTTTTTTTATTTTTTTTTGGGGGGGGGGGGGGGACACGTTAAACTTTCATCCTTGTGACTGCTTTTACAAAAAGAATTTTGAAAAAATGATAATATTTTGTATTAAAAAAAAATTTAAATGAAGCTTCCGAGTACACTTCTCACATGTCACATCTTTAAAAATGTGATTTTGGCAACAATTTTCCTTTCCTATTGTTGTTGATAGATTTTTCATGAAATCGCATCATTTTGAATAGTTTCATTCTTTTAGAAATATGGGTTTGGCAACAACTTTTCATCGCATTTCTTAAGTCACTGTTTTTAAGAGATTGGCATATTTCTTTGTCTTTTTTACTTCCTTGTACGAAGTAAAAAGGAAGTATTGTAATCGCAAAAAGTTTCAGGCAGCATATTTCAACGAAAATATCCATTTTGACCGCTATCGAATGCAATTTAACGATGTCTTTGCGTGATATCTGTACGTAAGGACAGAATAAAATACTCTTTTCCTTCAAAAAAATTATAAAACTGCTTTAAAATGAATTCTGAAGAGAATTTTTCGTGGCGTCTGTACGAACGTATGAACGTACGTACGTTCGTGCGTACGTACGTATCTCGTATAACTCAAAAACGAGTTGCCTCAGAACGTTGAAATTTTGTATATAGGACTGCTATAACATGTAGATGTGCACCTCGTATTTTGGTTGCAACCGGCCGCACCAAACGTATATAAATATATTTATAAATATATCCACTCTGTTACCCGGCTCAGTGATCTCAGTTTCTTTACTCTTATATGTTGGTAAATTGTACATTTTTTGCTTTAAAAATGATTGAATTATGTTGTTTTTTATCTTCCGGTTAAGGATTTTATGCCTTAACCGGAAGGTACGGAAGTACATCATTCTAGCTTTATTATAGTATTTGAATAGAACATGTGGCAACGATTAGATAATTCTATTCTTTAAATGATATAAATTTTGTGCATTGAGTTATAATATGAACGAAATATATAAGTTAACTGTTATATAATTACTGGATTATATAACAGTTAACTTAGTTTCCGTTATAAAATTATTATATAAGTTATCTGTTATATAATTATTAATACTGTTAAGTGAATCTAGCGCCAGAGTGTCGCTATCGTAAACAAATACTAGAGTGAATTTTAAAGAATGCATTTATTCTATTGTGGTTTATGCGCTGTCGGCGAAGTAGGTTTAATTCAATCCAATAAGTTTAAATGAAATGCAAGAAAAAATGCTTATAATTTAATATTCCAATACAAGGAAGTCACGTGGTGTACACATCAGATTTTTTTAAGTGAAAATAGGTCGATGTGCACATGGATACCAAGTTAGTGATTTCTTAAAAACGCGCCGAGCAGTGGGCGATTCTGTACTTTCCTCTTTCTATCTTCGAAGAAAATAATTGCTTATCCTCATTTCACAAATTTCTACAACTGAAATGCTAGTACCTTCAATATTCGAAAAGTGATTTAGTAAATCTGTGTGCAATATTTGTAGAATTATCAGCAATTTTAAAGTTGTTTAATTGCCGCTAAGGCCTGTTTTTAATGGCGGCCATTGATGTTTACATTTGAAACAGGAGACTAGTGGATTTGTTGCCAATCTAGAGAAACTTAGCTTCGCAACAACAAAGATAACGCATTCATTTATTATTGCCAATTAAATCATGCTTAATTCTTTGTGGAATTTTTTCGAGGAAATAAGCGTTTGAAATTTACTTCGTAATTTTAATATAGATATTTTGAGTGTTTATGTATTTTTGCCTTCTCGCGAAGTAAGAACTGAATTAATTAAATGAGAATTAAAAAAAAAAAAAAAAAAAAACAAAAAAAAAAAAAAAAAAAAAAAAAAAAAAAAAAAAAAAAAAAAACTCAATCGTCCGTGAAAAACTGTTTCTTTTTTGTTTTATTTGCTAATTTCTTTTATAGATCATTTCTAGCTTTATTATAGTATTTGAATAGAACATGTGGCAACGATTAGATAATTCTATTCTTTAAATGATATAAATTTTGTGCATTATGAGTTATAATATGAACGAAATATGTAAGTTAACTGTTATATAATTATTGGATTATATAACAGTTTAACGTAGTTTCCGTTATAAAATTATTATATAAGTTAACTGTTATATAATTATTAATACTGTTAAGTGAATCTAGCGCAGAGTGTCGCTATCGTAAACAAATACTAGAGTGAATTTTAAAAAATGCATTTATTCTATTGTGGTTTATGCGCTGTCGGCGAAGTAGATTTAATTCATTCCAATAAGTTTAAATGAAATGCAAGAAAAAATGCGTATAATTTAATATTCCAATACAAGGAAGTCATATGGTGTACACATCAGATTTTTTTAAGTGAAAATAGGTCGATGATCACATGGATACCGAGTTGGTGCATTTCTTAAAAACGCGCCAAGCAGTGGGCGATTCTGCACTTTCCTCTTTCCATCTTCGAAGAAAATAATTGCTTATCCTCTCTTCACAAATTTCTACAACTGAAATGCTAGTACCTTCAATATTCGAAAAGTGATTGCAACGTCGAATAGGATTGGGCTGTCCTCACCTAGGCGCCCGTTGCTACGAGCTGCTTGTTAGTGGATGAAGGGTTACAAACTGTGCATCCAAAATATTTTTACATTAAAAGAACTTTTGGGATAATGAATTCCATGTCTGTTAAATAATAATGATTATATTGTTAATTTGTTTTCTTTCCTGTACTTGAACAACATGCAAAATAAAAGAATACTATGCCATAAAAATAATAAGCAAAATACTTTCTTTTCTCCCTAAATGAGATTCTCATGTTTGGACATTCAGTGTAAGGGAAAGAAATGTTTTAGATTTCATATTTAAATTATTATTTTTAAAAAATCTGAAAAGTTTCAGATTTTAAATTACGTCCAAAGGGGCGTTTTTTTAACATTTTGTGTGTGACTTTTATTTATTAAATATCATGTTCTTCGTACATAAACTATAAAATTCAGTTCAACTGCAATATCTAAAAATAATTTTAAAATGAGCATATCTTTAGAATTTCTGATACAGAGTCTCTCGCGTTGGAGATAAAAACGTTTTACTTTTTTCCGTACAGTGTTACCATTGCTCGCTTTGAAATCCTTGAATTTTTTAATCAAAAATTCGTTGAAGTGTTTCGAAATATGAAATCGATAATAAAACAAATTTCAAATTCAAATTACGGCTTCCACATGCCCTTATTCTATGGAAGATTACGTTATTCAAATTTTGATGGCTCTGGGTACCGTTGTTTTATCGCAATGCGAGATACATACATATATTCATGCAGATCCTTCATTATTTAATTTCTTTAAATATAACGCAGGGCTCTAAGATTTGGTGGCAATATTTTGAAAAATGAAACAACGCTTATCGTGAATCAACGCAAAATGTCAAAACGAAATTAATAGTCCTTCTGGGCAAAATGCCCCTATAGACTAATAAAAGTTAGTAAAAATTGCACATTGTTACTAAAGGGCTAAATAGTAGTAGTTAAGTTGTTTCAGTTGAAAACTAAACTGGTTCTCTAATACAGTGTAGGGCTCACCAGCGGCCGAGCGGTAACGTCGCTGAACACTGGTAGTTCGGTCCGAGGTTCGAATCCCGTGAACGAGCTGACTGCATGGGCGTTTTCGTAGTTTTCCCCAAGTGTAACGTGTATACGATTCAGTTTCCCTCAGAAAGTCCTCCACGAAGGAATCAACCCCCTAGGCAGATAGCCCTAGTGTACTTTGCCGTAATTCAATAAACCAAACTAAACCAAAACTAATAGAGTGTAGAACTGGAAAAACGTACACTTCGACTGTGAGGAAGTTTCTGTAGATGATAAGACAATAGATAATAAATACGACAATAGACAATTTCCTCGGAAACCTGTATAAGTTCTTTGTATATACAGTGTAGAAATGTTTAGATTCTTCAAGTGCGTTGCATGACACAGACTTGTTTAATAATTCTAAGATCTGGTGACCTACCTGGCCAAGACACAAGTCCATAGTCAAAGATGAAGTGTGGTCCTCTATATATAACTTGAGTCTCTCGACTTTTACAGCTGCTTTTTTAACTTTTGCAACAATCCAATCTAACAGAATGAATGCGGGATATGAAAATGTGCAACTCATCCGATTAGATGAGCACATAGTGTTTACCTGTCAGAGACGTTAGTAAATACTCCGTTGAATTCCAGAACAGGAAACTCCTCATCATTATGGAGGCATCATAGTTTGCGCAGTCGTCTGTGTTTATGTGGAATCCATATATTCATGGGAGTTTTTGCAGCTCATAGCATTTTACTCGTCCAAAGCGTTAGAAACGGGATTGATCATACTAGGCTGTATTCATTTTCAATTATCAATCGTGCAATATCGAGATTACCAAATTCAAGCGAACTGCATAATTCTGCGAAGTTCATGTTGCATAGTACATCTTGCATCATAGAACGCAGGCTCTAAATTTTAATAATTTTCTCCAAAAATTCGAGGAACGAAAGATTAGAGCAATTAACTTATATTTCTCTCAAAATAAAATTTTAAAAAACGGTGCCTTTGACCGTGAAACTGTCGCCAAGCAGCGAGATTTAGTGCCAATCATGGATAAGCGTGATGCAATAGCAAACTCATAACATCTGTGCTTTCGTTTGATGTAACCCTGATTAATTGTCGATAGACATCTTGGGTTTTTATGAATAAGGTTATAAATTAAATGTTATTTCTGTATTTTTCTTTAGCATTTTGAAAGAAATGATTAAAATTCGGTACCTACCATCTATAGAACAGCTAGTACTGAATTATTTTCGACGTTACGTGATCCTATGATCAAAGCTTTATGTATTAATGGACAACATATGGTCAGCTGAATGCGGCCGACAAAAATGTAATAAGCTGGAACAATTATCTACAGGAAGTTTGTATACATAATATTGTAACCAGAGCTTTTGGTATAATGGGAAAGGCCAACGAAAACACAGTGTGGCTCACTTAAAACGAGCCCTGATTTAACGAGAACTCGGATTTAACGAGGAAATCAAAAATACCTGTTTGGTACAATGCTAAGTCTATGGAACATAATTCGCTTTTAACGAGCAAATCCCGGTTACAGCGAGTAATATTTTTGCGATTCGTAAAATTTCTATTGACTTCCATCTCTGCAGCTCAGATAATTCTATCTTGGAAAAATTTCTTTAACATTCCGAAGTCAAGCGAAAATTAGCGATGAGTCATAAATGCTGTGCGGTATTTTTTATCTTGGGGAGTATTGAAATAGGATTCAATTTTTACTACCGAATTCTACAAATGTTACCCAGCCTATCATCAGAAATTTTAATTCAAACTTTTATAAGCACTTGAGTTTGATGTTCATGGATAGAAGAGAAAAAATAAGCATAAAGTGCTAATGTGAACGTACTCGAAGCGATAACTTTGATTCATTATGCATGGAAAACGTTACATGAATATGCATTACCAATTGCTTCCGTAAACCTGGAATGGACATTTTTCAAGAGAGGCAATTGACTGTAGAAAAAGAAGAAGTAGACATCTTGGGAAATTTGGAAATGAGTAGAGAAGAAACTGAAAATTATGTATCTCATGACATCAATATTAACACTTCGAGATAACTCCTCCCGAGGACATTGTAGCTGAAATTCAAGCTAAAGATTCAAGCAGATGAAAAAAATAATGAAAGCGAAGCTGATAACGACGAATATAAAGAACTTCAAGTTAAACCGCCCTCCAACATACTCAATGGCTTTTGACTGCGCAGAAAATCTTCAAATAATTTTTGAACCTAAAGGTGCAAATTATAATGTTTTTCGGGTCAAGAGACTCCTCCGAAGAACAATAACACAAGAAAGAGACAACTTGTACTGTAGAAAAGATAGAGACATTTGTACTGTACAGAAATAAAAATTATATAATATGACATATATTTTTATGATTTTTTACAAACCTGATTTTTACAAGCATTGATTGTAACGAACAAATATCACCCTCCCTTCTAGCTCGTTATAAACGAGTTCAACTGTAACAGAAGTTGACGAAAACCTTTTTACAAAGAGCAAAAGCGAATAAAATACTGCTTGTATATTAACACATTAACTGGAACGAGTATTTGTAAGAAAAAATCTCCTCAACTGTAACAGAAGTTGACGAAAGCCTTTTTAGAAAGAGGAAAAGCGAATGAAATACTGCTTGTACTCGTATATTAACACGTTGACTGGCCCGAGAATTTGTAAGAAAAATCTCCTTTAGGACACGAGCACTGCTATACCGTGCCTCAAAAGTTTTCGGTCGTAGGTGTTTAGAACGTCTAAAATAAAACATTTTGGGATATGCATGCAGTTTAAAACTTTTTCTCAAGAACGAAGTATCTAAGAAAGGGTGAGAAATTCTAAAATTATTTCTTCTTTTCCAAATATTTTTTCTGTAGTGACAAATGGTTGAAATTTTTTTTTGTGTTAAAATTGTTTGCCCAATTTTTTGCATTGTCTGAAAAAAAAAATAAAAGAGTAATTTTTAAGAAGAAAACTGTTGCGAGGATTACAGAAATTCGAAAAGTAGCAAAGAGGAGCAGTCGAGATTTTTCAGAAAGATAATTATAAACAAGATTATGTCTTTAAATTCTCATTATAATACTAATAAATGCAATGATAATATTTGTGTAGATACTACTAATTATATTTTACAAGAATTGATTGTTTAGAGAGAAACAAAAATTTGATTATCGAAGAAAACTCAATTCAGTTTAGTGAACGGAATGAATTTTGCTGTCAGCAACAATCATTTTCGTTTTTTTCTTTCAACAATTAATAATCTTTTTTTTTTAATATCTTCTTTACCACGTAAGTACTCAAAGAATTTTCACCCGAATACGGATGGCACGGCAGTTAAAGTGTTAAAAAGAAGCTTCAGTTCCTCTAGAAGATTCGCGCAACTTTTACGACATCCCACCAACCTTTCATGAATGAAACACTAATGAAGACTAATGAACACATAACGAACACTAATGAAATATTTCTAAGCAGAGCGGAGTATAAAAAGGTTTGAGAATCATTGACATAACAGTGAATCGTTTTATAAATAGACAGTTGAAATCGTTAAAAATGTCCATTCGGAAGGCATAAACAGTTCTAGAAGCTTTCACAGATATCTATCATTTTATGTACTTATTGGCGGAAGCAGCGGTGGGGTGCTTGGATAACGCTATTATGCTATCTCAATAGAAATTATCTGTATCAATGTTTTGGCACTTCAGTTGAAAATCAGCAACGAAAAACAATAGTTTTTCATCGCTTGTAATGTTTATGTGGTTAATTTCGGATTTCAAATACTGACAATAGGAAGAATTGTATAATGGCTGTTAAAATCAAAAATACGAATTAACTTCTTGCAGACGAAAAAAAAAGAGTTATTTTACGTTACTATGGAGATGGAGAATGGCGCAAACAATTTTTCTTTAAAAGCAGGCAAATTGCCACTAAGCCTAATAGACAGGAACAAAATCAAAGATTTAAAATTTTAAATCCATATTCCCTTTCTTCAGGGCTTAGTTGTTTTATTTAGTAGCTCGAGCATAAATATTATTTTCTTACTCCCACCATTAAAGTTGAAAGAAAAAAATTATTAATAATGGCTGTTACAATCAAAAATAAGAATTAACTTCCTGCAGACGAAAAAAAGGGTTATTTATATGGGAGAATGCCGCAAAAAAAATTTTTTTAAAGCAGGCAAATTGCAACTAAGCCTAATCTACAGAAACAAAATCAAAGATTTAAAATTTTAAATCCATATTTCCTTTCTTTAAGGCTTAATTGTTTTATTTAGTATCTCGAGCATAAATATTATTTTTTTACTCCCACCATTAAAGTTGAAAGAAAAAAGTTATTAATTCATGTATTCAACTGTTTTGTTGAAAAGTTTAAGTATCAGAAAGGGAAATAACGAAATTATCCACCTCAATGAAAAATGGTTGTTGATAGAAAAAATGATCGAATCTTTAAAATGAATTTTCAAAATTTTCTTTTTTCGAATGGCACCAACTGTTGGTGATTATTCGCTATTTAACACTAAAGCCTTTCTGAAATAATGTTACTGATTGAAAGTATTCTCTCTCAAAAAATCACTATATTACAATATCCATAGCGATGATTTCTTTAAAGCAAAGGCGCGAATGGCTCAAAATTTTAGACAGATGCTTATTACGGAAAAACTTGCGATATCCGTTTAAAACACACAATCATCCAAATACTTACAAATTACGGATTCTGGATTACGAACTTTGTACTGTACAACAATTTCACATATGATTGCGCCAAAACCATCTATCTGTGTACAAAATTCGTAACACTATTTATATTTTAATACGGGTAATGGATCTAATATTGAATCAACTATCGAAATCAAAATATTTCACAACTGTGACACTGCACTTCCCTTTTCCCATAGTCAATACATTTGATATTAGATATCTATTGAGTAATTTATATTTTTGAATTTTGATATATTTCATTAAAACATTAACGTGGTTGAAAATATGAGATCCATATAAAAGAAAGAGAAATAAACTAAATAAAATGGTATATTTGTGATATTTTACAATCTCCTTGTTTCTTACAGTATGGATAATGTCATCTATGGTTCATACTATAGTGATTCCAAAATATTAAATTTCTGCTTCACTCTAAATTCACTTTGGTCTGACCCCACAAGAAAAATTCAGAAAATCAAGAAATCTGAGAGTAAGTATGAAATATCCAATTTCTCATTTAATAACACGCTTTTATTAAAATTGAATTAAACTGAAGATTTTAATAGGAAATAGTAATTTGCTACTTAAAAGAGAGAGTTTTCCTACGTAAAAGAAATGGCAATTCGCTACTTAACCATTTGGGACTAATGTCCCTTTTAAGGCTAAAAGAAAAAAATCAGCAACAATAGTGAAACTATCAGAATGTGAGCATTTTATATTGAATTTGTACAATGTGATTAACACTAACATCTTGAGGCTTGATATCATCCTTGTTTGTTTAACAAATTATAATTATATTTTATTAATGAATTCCTTTTTCAGAAATCGAAATGGAATTCTACATGGATATCTCAAACCGGGATACAGACGCTCCACCGGATTTGCCTCAAAGACCAAAATATAATTATCCTGGTTCTCCGGCAGTCCAATTGGCTATCCATTCTCCATATCTTACAGTAAATCCTTTCGTATCTGGACAAGGCTTTCTTGCAGGAAAAAGATACCAGATCAAAGTAAAGCAGGTACTCCAGTTTCTTATACACACGAATGTTTATACTATAACTTGTTACTTTAAAATAGGAACTTCAAGGTTACTTTCCGCCACTCAATTTGACTTGTTACCATGGAAATAACAGCTGCGGAAAAAATGTGGACTCGTTTAAATTTTTTGCCCTACTGCATTCCACTTTAGCATACTTCACTTCGTGAAAAGAAAGCTTATTAAGGCTGACTTGAATTACAGTCTCATATACGGTGAAGATAACACGAGTTACTATCGCAAATGGGAAGGGCTGACAACGACCTTGAAGTACCCGTCTTAAATTAACATGCAAATGACAAGCCCTGTTCATGTTTCGGGCTAATAGTTAACAAAATTATTTAATACGTTGGAGAAGAGACCAGCAGCACTCATTTTCAGACGTTTGTTACTTTGCTTGAGCATATAATGTATTTTCTCCCTTCTTTCCGCATGCCTTCGTGGTGTAATTGGAAGCAAACTCGATACGTATTCGAGAGATCCGGGTTTCTTGTCCCGGTGAGGACACTGCATATTTTAACGTCCCTTGCTTCAGAATAACCTAATGACTCTACAAGGGTAGAAATTTCTTTCTATCTGAATAGTACTAACAAATATCACGGCCGGCGAAACCAGTGCAGCCTCGCCGAATTGCAAAATACCTAGTGCTTTAGTGAATTAAGTCAGTTGGTGCTGCTCAGTGGGACCGGAAGTTATCTTTAAACATTTGTGCACCGAACATTTTGTCTTTCTGCCCGCCACCTGAATTGCTTATTTTCCTCTAGAATAATTTTCATTGTAAAAATGGTATTTTTTTTTAACTGTATTAAACTATAGTCGGTGTTTTAGGGGTTTCTGTGTATTATAATTTTTAATTGAGATTTTTTAAGTTTTTATATATTTTTCCCTTGCCACGAAGTCAGAACTGAATTGCTGAGTAAGAAATATACCTCTAATAAAATTCGAGGAAGCGGGGAGTTTAAATGAAATATAGCAAAAAATGTGTGTTTTAACCAATCCTTTAATATAAACTCTGCTGCTAATATAAACTGCTGGACTAACTGTAACAACAAGGGTGCCCTCTGGTGAATTGCCAAAAAAGGACTTCAGGAAAAGCCAAGTGTTTAACCTGATAGGTTGTTTCAGTCTCTTGCTCTGTGATTTTCTTAAATTTAATGTAATTTCCATGTGTAACGTAAACCTGTTAATAAATAATTGTTACACTATAAAGGACTTCCTTCTTCTTATATGACCTTATTCAACACGCCCCCTTTATAGTATAATTTAATAGGCCTTACAAGGAAGTCATTTGGTGTTCATATTAGATTCTTTTTTCTTTTTATTAATGCAGCACCAAAGCAACATTTACGTTAGCATTTTTAATATCAATTTTTACTTATTTCCCGCATGCTGTTTATCGCTATTGTCAGAAGTTGTCATCTATTTTTAAACTTCCTGATAAGCTGTCGAGTTCAAATTTTACACTTACACTGCTTGTAGTCGATAATACACAATGTGGTGAAGCGATTCATTCAAAATTCGATTTACTTATCTTTTGATTTAATGTTTAAATGATTCTCACGCAATATCGACGAACAAATTAAAAAACTCAGAATTGTACTCTTTGCACTATCGGATATAGCGGAAAAACATGTTTTAAATAATATTATGAGATTTTAACGCAATTTCTCATTGTTTAGCAAAATCACTGACTTATTTACGATTACCGGAAATACAAAAGTGATAATTCATTGTTTAAAAATTATTTTTCAGTTGAATATATCGATTAATAATATGTCAGACTAAAAAGATAAAAGTAATAAAAATGTTTTTTATAATTTTAATGCTTTTATTTAAAACTCAGTAGTATTTTTGTTGGTTCTGTTAAACTATACGATTTATTATTTTTCAATTTTTAGTTAAATTGTTAAATTTCTTTTTCATGTGTATGTAAGAGACACAAAGAGAGAGAGAGACAGGCTATTAAATTATATAACCCTAAAATTAAAAAAAAATTGTATGGGAATACTATTCATAAATTTTTAACATTTCGAAGCAAATTATTTCTATAAAAACAGTTTTAGCCTACTAGAAGTAAAATATTATAAATACCAGTAAATCATTAAAGAATACCACTGAAAGCCATTAAATGAAGGGGGGGGAATCAACTTCGAACGATTCTAATTTATTTTTAACTGATATCTGAATGAAAGCGATAAAACTTTTTGATCTGAAAAATCTGAAGTATCCCAAACTTTAGAATCAAATTTCGCAGTAAATTTTTGTAGTACAGGATTCCTACATTTTGTGTTCCATCATTTAGATTAAATATAAATTTTTACTAATTGTTTAAATAGAAAGAAACGTGGAAACGGAAGAAAAACGTGGAAAAAGTTACGTTTCGTAATTTTTTTAATTAAAAAATATCATAGCATGAATTTTTTTGAAGCTGGAAGTATAAGTAGATGGCAACGGCAGTGAAAATACAGGCCACGTAAAAACGATTTTGAACGTACACCTTTCGCTCTTGAATTTGGCAAGACCTGACTTTAACTATTAATACTAATATCTCTCATGCAGACATTTCGCTCTGATATTTGTTTTTCTCCATGTTTAACGTGAATAAGAATTAATTTCTTTAGAAAGTTCTCCTCGAAAGCATTCCTTCACCTCGCCAGATAGCACTTATTTGCTCTTAGAATATTCACTGACTTCACCTAACCTAACCTTCTGATATTCGTGCAAACTGGATCTGGTTCCAAGTGGTCGATTAAACTTAAAATAAAGCATTAAGTGCACATTTTACTCAATACTCCGGTTTCATTTCATAACCAATAACACTAGCGTGTAATCAATAACTCCTTATCATTAACATAGTATGAAACGAGGATTTTATATAGTTTTATTTTCTGAAAATCGAAAAACAGAAGAATCACAACTTTGAATGCGATGTTTTTGATTCATAGAACAAGTAGGAGGCAAGAATTCATTAACCCATCAGTTGCCTGGCGTTATGAATACACAATGTTTTTCTGACAGTCTATTTTTAGCATTGTTCCGTTTTGCCTGCGTTACGTACGTGCCAAGTGTTGGAATAGGCACACGAGGAAGGTTTCAAGGCCGTTCGAGTTTGTATGTGTTACACGTGCTTTTAAGCCTAATTCGTTGATCAAACGGAAGTTTTCTTTTTTTAGTCAAAATGAAATGACTAAAAATTAACCTGAATTGACCGCGAAAGAATAACTAATTTCTCTATCTCATTATTTAACCAAAACGTTTTAAAAAATTAGTGAGATTCATATAGTCTATTTTATATAAAAACATGCTTCTTCTGTGTTAAACGAAAAGAATTTAAATCTAGATTTTAGGTTTTCAAGGATTTATTAATTCAATTAATAAAAATAAAAAAAGAAACTTGGCTTGCGAATATCCAAGCCATATTATTAGCCCAAAAGGGACATTAGTGCCAAATGGGATATTAGTTTCAAACCGGCATTTTTCGATGAATCATTATAAACGAGTAACGCTTTTCAAATTATTGCCACCAAATACTATCTCCCTGTATCATACTTAAAGGAATTAAATAATGAAGAACCTGCACCAATGCATGCATGTTTCTCCCATTGTCAAAAAACAACAGTACCTACAGCCATCAAAGTTTGAATAGCGTAGTCCTCCACTCCAATTTGGGCACCTGGAAGGTTGAATTTTGAATTCCGAATTTGTTTTATTATCTATATCATATTTTGTAAAATTTAACTAATTTTTGATTAACAAACTCAACAATTTCAAAGCGTGCAGTGGCAACACTGTACGAAAAAAAAAACATTTTTATCTTTAGAGCGCAAGATTTTCTATGGGATATTCTAGAGATATGTTGTTTTTAAATATTTTGAGATTTAGATCTTCAGTCGAACTTTACATGGTGTAAGCGCCAAGAACGTGATATTTAAAACACGCCAAACGTTAGTATTAATAAAAAATGGAAATATAAAATCTGAAAGCTTTCAGGTTCTTAAACGATTAATAAAAATAATTTTTTATAACTTAAAAAGGATTTTAACTTTTCGTTCAGATTATAGCAGAATTATTACTTAGAGAAAGTTGATGAGCAGTTTTGAAACAATAGTTAATATGTCTTAAGAACATGTATCATACCAGTATTATAAGGAATCAGAAATAAATTGGATACAATACAACGGCCGTGGCTGCTGCTTTTGACCAGATGCTTTAAATCAGTTTCGACGGAAGTCGTTTGCATATTGGACGGTCGGTATATCACCCCTCTCGATATTTTATCCTTTTCATTATGATAAGCCGCCCGTCTCGATATACAGGGTGTTTATAAAGTCTCGGACCCATTTTGATGTTTAATAACTCATAAAATAATAAAGATAGATTAAAATTAATAACATAAATGGTTAGATGGATTCAAAAAGTTTCATGATACTTGTCAATAAATTTCCACGTGTGTCCCCTTCGTTGGACGGAGAATATCAAGTCGATATTCATTTTCATGCCAGGTACCGGCAAGCATGTCGGCATCCACAGAGGCTATTGCAGTTGTAATTCTGGCTTTTAGGTCATCCATGTTCGACACTCTCCTCCTGTAAACGTTGTCCTTTACAAATCCCCAAAGGAAAAAGTCCATAACATTGCAATAGTTGCCAAAAACAAAAGAGAGAAAAATGCAATTAATAAGCAGAGGATGAAAAGTGCAGATATTTAGACTGGAAAATGAAATTATCTGAAATTAACCACACGCGCAGACGATATTTACAAAAGTAAAGATATTCAAACCTGAAAAGGAAAATATATAAGTCATTCCATCAATAAATGCCATAAGTTTGTTCCTATCTTCATTATTTTATGAGTTATTAAACATCAAAATGGGTCCGGGACTTTATAAACGCCCTGTATTATGATAAATTTAAACTACGTTCACAAAATGTTGGTTTTATTACTTACGGAAGTTGTGCTTCATATAATACATATTTTTCTGTCTTTAATGTTAGCAGTATACATCCTGCATTAAGAAAAGCAGTGGAATATTGGAGAAGAAAAAAATGTTTGTGTCGGAGAACTGGACTTATTTACTGACGGTTCGGGTTATGACAATAATGGAATTGGTGTAACATATGTGGTTTACTTGTTTGGTACAGAAATAGACTTGAACCTTACAATTCGGTTTTCCAAGCCGAATTGGTTGCTATCATATTTGCTCTTAAATGGATTGATGAAAACTTGACTGTAAAAAACGTGTGTTAATATATGTACAGTCTTCATTATCTGGTTATAATCTTTATTATCTGGAAGCACTAGATGTTGATAACACCAATATTTCGGTTTCATACATAAAAGATCTCCATGTAAAAGTTGAGAAAATACATGAAGTAAAAACGAACTGGATGAAAGCCCATATCGGTGTTAAAGGCAATGATGAGAGGGCCCACATGCTGGCCAAAGAGGCTGCTTATGGGTAATGCCGGGGATGCGTTCGATATTCAAGCATCAAAAAGAACTGTTATTGGAAAAATCAAGGATTTCTATTACGATTGCTGGAAAAAGAAATGGAAGATTTCGAGAAAAAAAAATTATTTGTTGAACTTTGAAGTTTCTAAAAATATAACAATGATATGTGATTTTGATTACAATCAAATAATTATTGCATTTAATGAAAAGATTGGTACTTTTCCGTTTTGTCGGCGCAAACGATAAAGTCGCCAAGAATGGTACAACTGATGCCTTCGCTGGTAACCTTTCACGCCTCATTTTCAAAACAAATCGCAGCCATTTCTTATCAGATTGATTGTTTCTATCAATACTGGCATACAATTACATAGAATTTTTACAAGATAGTTAAATTTTATGCTCTAAGACAATTCGCGGTAATTAAGTCAATTAGAATGCAATCACACCGCTCACTCGAAGGCGAAAATATAGAAAAGGGCAAAATCAAGGGTTAAATTCATCAATTCTAATGAAAATGCATTAGCAAAGTAAAGCACTGCGGTGTTACGTAATTTCTGAGTAAGCTATTCGTACGAATTGAAATAATTCTTGCGTTTAAACTTGTATTCCAAACGAAGATTTAACTTGAAATTAATGTAGATAATTACTGAGAGAATCATATTTTTGTAGTGTAGTTTACGTGAGATGAGATCACTTTCGGTCACGTGATACGAACCGGCGAATCAGGATGTTGAACCGTTAAAGCATAGTAAACTCTTAAATGTCTTAATGTCTTTTTACAAATTTATTGTCTTTATTTATTAGCTTTTTAGAAAATTTTAAACCATATTAAAATGTTTATGCCTTCAAAATAAAAAATTCTTAGCATTAACACTTGCTAACATTTTTTATGTGTATACTGTATGTTGTCGCCAATAAAGTCTGCTTCGCAAGTTTTGCGTCGGCGAAACGAAAAAGTACCAAAAGATTTAATTTGCAAAATAATAGTTTTTGTAGTGCTGAAGGCAATGCACGACATTTCGTAGAAGACTGAGTATTATAGCGACATATTAGGGAAAAACATGGTAACATAAAGGAATTCTAGTGTCGCAATAAAAGAGTTTAGATTTGCAAGAGATTTGATGATCTTTATAAATGGCAATAGAACAATACTGGTGAATTTTGGTTTGATGTTTTTGATTCTATTTCTGTTTTAATGTGTTTTCATCTTTTGTTTTAATCTTTTAACTGTATTTTTCTTTGTTTGTGTTGGGTGTGCTGCGTTAACCACGAGGCCGATTATTATCAGCTAAGAGGGTTGCTGAACTCGTATATTACATTACATTACCAGCATTATTAATAAAATTAGTTTCTACTATCGTTTCTTACGTAAGAATGATTTATTTATTTATTAGTTTATTTTTTAAATGCTTTAGCTTAATTCGATTAGAAAATATTGTTAATTATAATGGTTAATTTTAAAATTTATTTATTTTTAAAATTTATTTTATTTTATTTATTTATCTTACAGGATGAAAAACATCTACTTCCGCCGCCGTATCAGACCAACTGCACCGACTACATGCCACTCTGGCTTGCAAGAGGAGGTGTTGGACCCCTTAATCAAATCGTAATTATTTTGTCGGAACCTATTTTAAAAGATATAAATTTAAAATCAAACATCTAAAATGTATCTTTTTTGTGCGTCTAAATTTTTTTAATTATTTTTTGTTTGTTTGTTATTGATGGTAGTGCTGGGAGGATTAAATTTTCCCCATTGTAAAATAGTTTCTTTGTTAAGTATTTTTCATAATTACTCATTTCAAATCAGGGGATTCTTTTTTAAACACCTTGTACTATAATACTAAAGAACTACAAACCCTCCTTCATCAGAAACATGTGAAAGCCCAAACGAGAATTAGAGCTGATAAGGAGAATGACCCTCCAGTAAGGAGGATGAGAAAACAAATGATCTATCCCAACTGCAATTACCAATCTCTTTCTGAAAAAAATGTGTTTAATTAGAAGTGGCGAAAAGATCCAACTCACAGACAAGCAGTAACGTCACAATAAGCTCGGATGAATAGACTTACTGCTGTGCTTAATAATAATGGCCATGAAATAATTTAAGACAGTCTTAAAGACACGTAAACAACTTTTAAAAAGTCGAGACATTTCAGAATGCTACTAAACCTCTTGATAATCTAAAATGTATCGAGTCTTTTGCTCACGAGAGAACAATTGATATACTAAATCTCAAGCTAGATCAATCACAGCGAATCACGCCTAACGACTTTTTAACAGTTGGTATTTGAAACCAGTAGATCTGCAACTCACACTCAGACGTAACGTATTGCGCCTTGAAAATGAGTTAACTTCCCTCAAAACTGCCCTACATTTTGTAATTTTTTTAAGGTACAAATGCCGTGCAGATCTGTGAAGAAATGCTGTTTATGGACAAGATGATTCAACGACCAAAAGAAGATTTAATCGCCTTCATTCTGGAAATTTCGATGTTCAAGACGCTTCTTGCAGTGAGCGATCAATCACAGTAAAAGTGGACGATATACTCAGAAAAGCAGGCAAGACTGGCATGTGAGCAAGTATGATGTCGCCAAGGGCCTAAATATCCATAATCAAATAGCGTTACAACCATTTGGGAAAAGATCTAGCTACAAAAAGAAACTTGACGTTTGAATGCCACATGATGTCGCAAAAAAAAAAGAAGTTACGATCCATCGAATTTCTGTTTACTAAACTCTACTGGAAACATAACGAAATCGAACCATTTCTGGTGTGGCTGATAACAAGTGATGAAAAGTGGATAACCTACGACGACAAGGCCCAAAAAGGATCGCAGTCGAAGCAACTAAATGTTCCTGGCGCCCAGGAAGGTTATGCTATACGTTTGGTGAGAATGGATGGGCATCGTGTACCACGAGCTGCTGCCACCAGGTTGAGTGATAACTCTCGGATCTGTTCTGTCAACAATTACAGTCACTGTTCCTACAGACCTGCAAAACAAAAGGCCGGAAGTTGTCAAATAGAAAGGGTGTCGTATACCATGCTGACAAGGCCATACCGCGTCTTTTATTCTTTAACGACAAATCAGAAATTATATTAAAGCCAGAAGTTAAGAGAACTCGGTTGAAAGTTTGCACCGTCAGCCTATCTTTTATTTCCTTCTCTGCAAAACGCTCTGAATGTATTGAATTAGTTTCAAAAGAGGCCTGTAAAAACCACGCAGCCTAATTATTTACTAGAAACCACAGGAGTTCTAGTATGAAGAAATTATGGAGTTGCCGGAAACATGGAAGAAGGTCATCGAGCAAAATGGTACATGAATGATTTCATAATCATATTTTCTAATTACATTAAAGGCATTCTCAATTTTGACTTCCAATGTTTGAGCACTTTTTAGACAACCTTTACAATGTTACTGGAAACCTAGAACTTCTATAAAATCAAAAGCAGAGTAAGTAAAAAGGCTAGGGGTAGCTAGGCTTTAACATCTAACGGAAAAGTCCGACTAAATTAAATTATATTAAATATATATGAGATTGTGTACCTTTCTGGTGTTAACTAAATCTATTTCCGCTGCGAACTACCGTTTCTGGTATAACATAAATTAATAAATTCCTAGCATTTCGAACACTGATGGTATTTTTAATATCCTCTGAATTCTTTTGTACATTTAACGATTTTGAGCCAGTCTAGGAACGGTTTAAAATTAAAATAGTAGCTACATAAACGTAACTCATTTACGTTACGTAAAACAAAGTAACGAACGTACATTATACTTTTGATATAGATAATTATTATATTACATACATAATTATTATGTATAATAGTTACAAAAGAATTTTTTTAAACAAAATATAAACATGCTTAGTATTTTCGCATATATTTAAGTAATCATTTATATATAGCCCACCAGCGGCCGAGCGGTAAAGTCGCTGAACACTGGTAGTTCGGTCCGAGGTTCGAATCCCGCGAACGGGCTGGCTGCATGGGCGTTTTCGTGGTTTTCCTCATGTGTAACGTGTATACGAGCCAGTTTCCCTTAGAAAGTCCTCCACGAAGGCATCCCTCCTCTTAGGCAGATAGCCCTCGTGTGCTTTGCCATAATTAAATACACCAACACATTTATATATATATATATTATTATTATTATTATTATTATTATTATTAACGAATATGTAATTCGTTCCGCAACGGCGTTCATTATATGAAGTGCTAGTTACTCGGTTTAAAGTTAACACACTACTTACATAAACGTAACTAATTTACGTTACCTTACGTACGTTACGTAGAACAAAGTAACGAACGAACGTAGACGAACGTAAAACAAAGTAACGAACGTACGTTACGTAGAACAAAGTAACGAACGAACGTTATATTTTTATATAGATAATTATTTTATTTATTGTATTACATGTATATATCGGGGAAGTACCAGAATAGGCTGAGGGTTTCTAAATTACTTTGGATTTATACTCTAATTAGCGATGTACTTTTTAATTAATGATTTTTTTATTAGTGAATTAATTTACTAAATTTCTCGAAATTCTTTTAAAGATAAATTTCTAATTTTGGCAATTCACCACTTTTTGGTTTGTAATTATTCTTTACCCATGCCTTTATGGTTGACGAAACACGAATTGAGTAATTGAAAAGTTCGGTTTGGGGGCAACTTCCCCTTGAAGAGATCTGTCTCCTGCCTGCTCAACAATTATTCACTTTATGCAACAAAATTTAGTCTTAAAAAAATTCTTTAAAGTTTTTAGGATTAATTTACGGATTGTTAAATATTTTTCATGTGTTAAGATGCTTGCATTTAATTTACATATGCTTTCTGAATTTGAATGATATTGCAAATTAGTTTGCAGCAATAAGTAATTTTTTATTTGTTTATTTACAATTGAATTTTCATAATTAAAAAAATTAAAATAGCTTTATATGAATGAGACAATGCTTTTGTGTTTGTTATATGTATATAATATATATAAGTAATTATTATATACATATTATTAACGAATATGTAATTTGTTCCGAAGTGGCATTCGTTATATGAATTGATATTTACGCGATTTAAAATTAACACTATAGCTACTATATAAAACAACGTAACTAATTTACGTTACGTAAAACAACGTAACGAACGCACGTTGCATTATTTTGGTATAGATACTGTGTTAATTTTAAACCGCATAACCAGCAATTCATATAACAAACGCCATTGCGAAACCAATTACATTCGTTGTGCAATATGCAAGGTATAGTTCGACCGTCTGAAGCGCAACCCTGGTTGGCATTCTGCCAAAACACATAGACTCGTCCGAAAGGGGCGGTATTACTTGCTGCGACGTGAAAGGTCTTCTCTTCTCCGGAAAGAGCTATGCTGGAGGGAAAGAAAGTCTCCATCCTTCCACCCTATTTTGAAAATAATTCGGTCCGAATGGCGCATGCGTGTTTGCGCTCATGGTCGCGGTTGAGGCGGTTGAACTATACCAGTCTTTCTTTGACCTAACTGGAGATATACTTTTCGACAAAACTGCATCACAAATATACAAATTTATGACACAATTTAATGATGGCATTGGTTATTTCCATAAGAATACGATCTATTTCTAACTGAGCTATGCTACAAATTGTTTCTGATGTGCCGTAGTAACTAGCTTATGGTCATCACGTTGTTTAGTCTATTTTCAGAAACGAGAATCTTCATAGAGTAAACAAGGAAGAATAGATGCATATACAATGAGCAGTTCTTTTCCCATATATATTTAGAGATTTTATGTTTGTTGAGTATTGTGGCCAAACTATATGTCGTACAAATTTATTTAAATTAAATTAGGAGTTTCGTAAAATTATTTAAATGGAAGACATGTTTAAGACCTACAATCAATTAGCAAACTTATTTTCTGACCCTACAGAGATAAGTTTGGTTTCGTTTACTGGATTTTGGCAAAGCACTTGAGGGATATTTACCTAAAGGACGGGATGCCTTCGTGGAGAATTTCAAAGGGAACTGGCTCGTATGCACGTTACATGTAACGAGACCACAAAAAATGAGCATGCAGCCAGCCCGTTTGCCGGAATTCGAACCCCAATGTTCAGCGAACCATTCCAACTACCAGTGCTCAGCGACTTTATCGCTCTGCTGCTGGTGCTATAAGCGCCATCCAGATGATTACACTGTAGTGATTATTATACAGAAAAATGTAAACCAAAAATCAAAACATCGTGAAAATGGTTAAATTAAGTAAATAAAAGCTTTAACTGACTATGCATAGTTCTTCTTAGATTCGTCAGTTGCCTTTAAATATAATTCATTTCTACAAATATGATGTATTATCTTTTATCTTTTCCTTTATTTCATCGTCCTGCAGTAGTTTATTCGAGCAGACACTTAACTAAGAGAAATTACAAAAGACATAAATGAAGATTGCTATAATAATTGAAAAAGATTATTATTACTACTATTAAATTATTTTACTGAGAATTTTTCTATTAAATTAACCTACTAGCTCAAAAATGTTTCTTAGTTATGATAAAATATTTTTGATGTTCCTCAGATTTCTCTTTCGCAAACCAAATGCCATTTCGTAACCACACTGGGCACTGCCATATTTGCTTATATGAAAAAAGCTATTTTCTGTAAATTATAGTGGTAGGATTTAAAATTCAGTGTCTTTCGGAATGAATTTTGATGCGCATTTGGACTAAAGTGTTCGAGCAACAGAATTTCATACACTTTGGTAATGGCATGAGGCAGTGGCGTGCTGTCAGTGTACTAGAGGGACTAAGCTAAACCCCTAATATTTTATGCATTAAACCTTTCAAGTATATGCTTAGATAACATTCAAAAGCATTAAAAGGAAATCACTACCTCTTTACGGGTTATTCGGAAGTACTAATCGCTTTTCGCACGAAATGGAGCAGGTGGAATTGTTTGGCTCCATGCCAGGAAGAATTCGCTCGCTTTCACATGTTCCCATAGCTACCGGAAACATATTGCAAACTACTTGCGGTATATTATAAAACTACCGGAAACATATTTGCAAACTACTTGCGGTATATTATAAAACTACCGGAAACATATTTGCAAACTACTTGCGGTATATTATAAAACTACCGGAAACATATTTGCAAACTACTTGCGGTATATTACAAAACTACCGGAAACATATTTGCAAACTACTTGCGGTATATTATAAAACTACCGGAAACATATTGCAAACTACTGGCGGTATATTATAAGAGGTTTTGATTTGCTTAAGCAAATCAGTTTACCTTTTAGCGCTGTATTTTAGTTCGCCTACATGAAAGCAATCTTATGGTACGTGAACGAATTCGAAGGAAAACATATTGATATAATAAATCCAAGTTAAACTTGTTAAAGACAAGCGATAGGGAAAAATAGTCTTCACGCAAGGTATCATTACGAAACAATCTCTGAAGTTGTATGATAACATATTAACATACTTATCAGCTGCCAGTGTTACACCTTAAGGACTATCATTGTAAATGCTTGAAACATTATACATGTCATTCCAAAGTTGAATACTAAATATTACGTAATTAAGTAATTTCAAAATTATTAGTAATAAAATTGTGAAAAAAAATCTGAAAGCATTCAGATTTTATATTAAGCTCAAAGGGGCGATTTTTTAACTTTTCGTGAGTCACTTTCTTCATTAAATATCATGTTCTTCGCATGTAAACCATAAAATTTAATTCAACAGCAATATCGCAAAATAATTTAAAAAGAACATATATTTACAATTTCCGTCGGACAGTCTCGCACTCTAGAGATAAAAACGCTTTTTTTTTTTTTTTTTTTTCGTGCAATGTTGCCATTGCTCGCTTTGAAATCGTTGAGTCTTTTAATCACAAATTTGTTAAAGTTTTACAAAATATGAAATAGAAATTAAAACAAGTTCCAAATTCGGGCTTCCAGATGCCATATTTGAGTGGAGGACTAGGTTATTCAAAACCTGATGTCTCTACGTACCTTTGCTTTTTCACAGTGCGGGAAACATGCATACATTCATGCAGAGTCTTCATTATTTAATTTCTTTAAATATAATGCAGGGCTTTAATATTTGGTGGCAACAATTTGAAAAATGAACCAACGCAAAATGCTAAAACGAAATTAATAGCCCTTCTTGGCAAATTGCCCCTTTTGCCCTAATTTGGAGCTAGTAATCTCTTTTCCTGAGTTTATGCTCTTTTTGACATAAAACGCTATTAATGAATCACTTATTATGTCATTCATCAGATTAAAACAATATTTATTTATTATTATATGATCACTTTGACTTTCCCTCTTTATCTGATTTTCATAAATACCAACCATTCTTGTAGTCAAATTATATCATTAGTCTTCGTATTCAAAATATAATCAACCCTGTCGTAACGACGATATCTCTAAGACGACCATTTCTGAAAGTGACCAGTATTTCCGAAAACGTAACTAAACATTAGTACTGAGTTTCACCTCTCTAAGACGATCACCATCACCATTAGTGCGCGGTCTTCTTAAGGAGGTTTATAATTTTTCTCCAGACCTAGTCCTCTTTCGTAACAATATGACCCGCCATTGATGTAATGAAAAATTCCTAAGTACTAGAGAAGGACGATCCGCTTCGGAACCGATTCAAAGAGCGATTCACTTTCTAAACAAATGAACAGCGCTCCGGCGAAAACGGAACGAGAGTTCTTTAACAGTTCATGAGAGCTATTGTTGGGAAACGTTCCTGTTATTGTAAGAGCCTCGTTCATGCATTCCTTGAGCATGCTTTCTTTTATTAATACCGGAAACATCCCTAATTTATTTTTTATGTGTGTATGTGTGTTATGTATGTATATATGTGCGCTTTTGGTTTGGTTCTGTTCCATCTAGAATTTCAAAAACAAAACATTAAATAAACCGATGCATCTCAACAAAACTGATCACCCCTGCTTGCAAGTTTTATTTTATTTATTTTTTGCTTCCTTGTACGAAGTAAAAAGGAAGTATTGTAATCGCGAAAAGCTTCAGGCAGCATATTTCAACGAAAATATCCATTTTGACCGCTATCGAATGCAATTTAACGATGTTTTTGCGTGATATCTGTACTTAAGGACAGAATAAAAGACTCTTTTCCTCCAAAAAAATTAAAAAACTGCTTTAAAATGAATTCTGAAGAGAATTTTTCGTAACGTCCGTACGAACGTATGTACGTACGCACGTATCTCACATAACTCAAAAACGAGTAGCCTCAGAACGTTGAAATTTTGTATATAGGACTACTATAACATGTAGATGTGCACCTCGTATGTTGGTTGCAATCGGCTGCACCAAAAGTATGTATATATATGTACATATATATATCCACTCTGTTACTTGGCTCAGTGATCTCAATTTCTTTATTTTTATATGTTTGTAAATTGTGCATTTTTTGCTTTAAAAATGATTGAATTATGTTGTTCTTATCTTCCGGTTAAGGTTTTTATGCCTTTAGTAAATCTGTATGCAATATTTTTAGAATTATCAGCAATTTTAAAGTTGCTTACGTGCCGCTAAGCCTAATTTTTTTTTTTTTTTTTTTTTTTTTTTTTTTTTTTTTTTTTTTTTTTTTGATGGCGGCCATCGCTTGTTTACATTTGAAACAGCAGAATAGTGGATTTGTTGCCAATCTAGAGAAACTTAGCTTCGCAACAACAAAGATAACGCTTTCATTTATTATTGCGAATTAAATCATGCTTAATCCTTTCTGGAATTTTTTCGAGGAAATAAGTGTTTAAGATTTACTTCGTAATTTTTAATACAGATATTTTGAGTTTTTATGTATGTTTGCCTTGTCGCGAAGTGTGAACTGAATTAATTGAATGAGAAATACTCAATCGTCTGTGAAAAACTGTTTCTTTTTTGTTTTGTTTGCTTAAATTTCTTTTATGCATCGTTCTAGCTTTATTGTAGTATTTGAATAGAACATGTGGCAACGATTAGATAATTCTTTAAATAATATCAATTTTGTGCATTCTGAGTTATAATATGAACGAAATATAATACTGTTAAGTGAACCTAGCGCCAGAGTGTCGCTATGGTAAACAAATAGAGTGAATATTAAAGAATGCACTTATTCTATTGTGGTTTATGCGCGGTCGGCGAAGTAGATTTAATTCAATCCAATAAGTTTAAGCGAAATGCAGGAAAAAAAATGAGTATAATTTAATATACCGTACAAGAAAGTCATGTGGTGTACACATCAGATTTTTAAAGGGCGACCCAGTCACCAAATCCTCTTGGTGACGAATTATCTTCCGGGTGCCACTTGAAGAATCATCAGAATCTTCTCGAAGTCAGGAAACTGAAATCCGTAAATGCCTCGCCGGGATTCGAAGTATGGAACTCCCCAGTATACGTCGAGCTTACTTCCACACACCCGCGAATTCACGTGGAAAGAAGGGAGAAAGACCTTGTACCAAAACTTTATACTTAATGCACTTTATGGTTTTCTGACTCTGTTAAAAAATAAATAAATAAATAAAAGATATAAATTTTTGATTTTACTAATGGTAGTCATTTAATGTACTTTTCTCACGAACAGATGGTGATAGAAGAATGCAAACTAAATGCCACGATTGAAGAAATGGGATGTGTCCCTTTCTCTGTGGATTATCCTCATAACGAAACCGTCTGCAGATACGCTGAAACATATCCCAGTAAGTATATCTGTTTCTCACCTCATTTCCAATCGATAAGGACATACATTATTCAGTTTTCTAAGTAATATATGAAATTCAATGATCCGATGTATGAGTGACTTGGTAAGGAAAGAAAATATTATTGAACTGTCTTGAGACAATACATTTTTTTTTTATTAAAAGAAACACAAGAAGTTCCCCGTGTACCACATAGGGCTTACAGAAGTAAGTATGAAACACATTACAAAATGAACAAAAGACAAAATTAAGAAGGATTACTAAATTTTACAATGAATTGACAAAACCTGTTAAAGACACTTCAAAATTCTGGGGACTAGTTAATATTAAAATTTTTCAATTCCAGTTTCACGATGTTTCTCCGCTCTCATATTTTGGAGAGAATTCGACAACAAAGAACTAATGATTTTGGGATATCGTTAAAAGGTACATTATACTTCCATAATAACGCCACGTCTGGCGTTATTGTGGAAAGATGGATCTTTTTACATAGTGTCATAAAAAGAATACATTGAAGATAAAAATTTGACAACAAAGAGCTAATGATTTTGGGATATCTTTAAAAGGTATATTATACTTCCACAATAATCCACACGCCATGAGTGGCGTTATTGTGGAAAGATGAATCTTTTTACATACTGTCATAAAAAGAATGCATTGAAGATAAAATTTGACAACAAGGAACTAATGATTACGGGATATCATTAAAAGATACCCATATGTGGAGTAATTGTGCAAAGATGGATCTTTTTACATACTGTCATAAAAAGGCAAAAAAATATTTTTGTGGAATAGGAAGGGAAGCAATTTATCCAGTTTTGATTCTAAGATTTCAAAGTGAAAAAGAGAATTTCATAGTGAAAAGGGCTTCACTCTTCCCACTAATTGCAAATCATTAATTCCTTCAAATGATTATTCAAAATGTATATTTACTCGTTACTTTTATGTAAATTGTTTCTGAATCTGAAGTACATGTTTGTTTATTTTTATAACCATATATACCGAGTCAGCGCTGCAATGTAACTATTAGGTAGACGTATAATCTGGCTCTCTGCCACGTAAAAATATTTTGATCTATTAAAAGGCAGGGAAACCGAAAATATTTGTAACGACTGGGTTATTTGAATGAGGTGTGTCAAACTGGCTGTTAGGGATGCTTCCAAGAATTTTTGTTCTTGTTGTGGTTATTATTTAAAAAGGAATGATGGCCATATTTGGCCACAGTAAATGCATCACGTATTGGGTTTAGTGACAGGAAAGGCAAATTCTAAAGAAAATTGAAATTACTGATGTTCATAAATGAAGAATGCACTTTTAACAATGCACACTGCTCAAAAAAAAAAAAAAAGGGGGGGGGCAGTTCTATATCTCCCGTTTTACTGGGCCGATTGACAAACTTCAACTTGCATTTTGATGGCTCGAAAGCGTGACTTAGGATATATATTAGATTTATATAAAGCGTTGTTCTAATATATTTATTTGGACACAAATATCGGACTTTTCCTAAAATGACATGCCAGTTTTTTTTTTTTTTTTTTTTTTTTTTTGTTTTTTGTTTTTGTTTTTTGTTTTTTCCCCCATATTTCTATTTTACGACCCAAATTATGCCTAAATATCATATTTTGAAAATTTTTGGGCGAAATTTATGGATAAATTGAGAAATTTATCTTTGCGCATTTTTTTCAATTTGCGCCAAGGATGGCCCTTGGCGAACTTTTTAAATTGGCCCTTGGCTATTTTCCTTTCTTCTTTTTTCATTGCAAACGAACAGGGGGAAAGTTGTCGTTCATCATTTCAAATAATTTTAACAAAGTGGTGCGTAAACCACATTTGGGGTTATTATCCCTTATAACAAATTTCAAAACGCGCCAATATGTAAATTCATGTACAACTTAGGAAATTGTACAACTTAGGAATTGTACAAATTCATGTACAACTTAGGAACAATGAAAATTTTTTTGCAGATATGCTTAGAAATACATCTACTTTAAGATGATGGTAAAAGTTTTATACGTTATAACTCAAAGTGTTTTTCAAAAAAATTTATAAAAATTATTTAAAATTACAAATTTTAAAAATAGATCATAAAAAATGGGCCGATCTTATTTGGAATGAACCTAAATTTCGAATGCTGGAAGAAAGAATCAAGTCATTTCAGTAAAAAAAGAAATATTAATAAATACATATCAAATCCAATTAACATTGAAGAGCTAAAATTTTGAGAGCTAGTTTTTTAAAAACTACTCGAGCGATTTTTACAAAATTTGACAGTTCGGCATAATGAGTCGTAAAATCGAAATATGGAAAACAATTGGCATGTGATTTCGGAAAAGTCCGGTTTTGTGTCGAAAAACCTATACTAGAACAATGCTATATGTAAATCAAATACATATCCTAACTCAATAAAACATGTCACGCGACAAAAATTGTCATAGTCACCTATTAAAGCCTAGTTATGAATCCAAACGTATTATACTGCAAAATTTCGCTGACAAAAAAATTAATATTTAACCAGCATTAAAAGAAAGAAACAGTTTATTTAGTGATTTGGGGCATTACAATCTTTTTCATAAATTAAATGGCAACGGCTCTGTTATTTCGCAATCATTTGGAAATTCATTAACCGCGTATAACATAAGTTATAGCAGTTTCACAGACACGTTTTTAAAGGCAAATAATAAAGAAAGCAAAGCATTGCTTAGAAGATAACGACAAACTGCCCTGATTACTAATCAGCTTTGAGACAGGTTAAGCTTTTATATCTTTTTTTAAGGTTACCAAGGAAACCAAGGTTCTCAAAGTCGTCGGGCTAAAGCAGACAAGTGAGTTATTTCCACAACCTGCAGTTTAATTCTTCAAAAGAATTTCAATGTATGAAAGACACTTGTTTTGTTGCTAGGCCTGTTAATCTGGGATCGCGTTATTTTCCAAAAACGAAAAAAGAAAAATTGAAAAATTTTAAAAAATAAAAATCTGAAAGCTTTTAGGTTTTATATTGCGCCTAAACGTGCGTTTTATTATTATTATTATTATTATTATTTTACAGTCCCATACATGTTTTGAGAGCATTTGAATTAACGCAACATTTGGTAAAAACATTTGAAAACTGCATATCTTTAGAATTTCCGATAGACAGTCTGGCACGCTAGAGATAAAAATATTTTATTTCCTACAGTGTTGCCACTGTTCGCTGTGAAATTGTTGAGTTTCTTAATCAAAAATTCGTTAAAGTTTCACAAAATATGAAATAATAAAAAAAATAAATAAAAATAAATAAAATAAAAAAATAAAATATATATATATATATATATTCCAGATGACCATGTTCGTTCGTGTTCATATTATTCAAAATTTAATGACTTTATTTTTTTTTTTTTTTTTTTTTTTTTACGGTGGGAGAAACATACATGCATCCATCTCTGTATATTCTTCATTATTTATTTTCTTTTAAATATAATGCGAGGCGATTATATTTAGTGGCAACAATTTGAAAAATGATTCTGACATTTAAAATGATTCGACGCAAAATGCCGTTTCGAGACTTATAGTCAGTCCTCTGTGCTAAGGCCCATTTGCACTAAAAAATCTGGAAGTTTTCGGATTTTATACTACGCCCAAAGGGTTTTCTTTAACGTTTTGTGTGTTACCTTTATTTATTAAATATCACGTTCTTTGCCCTTAAACCATGAAATTCAATTCAACAAAACTATCATAAAATAATTTTAAAAAAGCATATCTTTAGAATTTCCGATACACAATCTCGCGCTCTAAAGAATTATTTATTTATTTATTTATTTATTTATTTGGTATAGTGTTGCCATTGCTGGCTTTGAAATCGTTGAGTTTCTTAATTAAAAACTCATAAATGCTTTACAAAATATGAAACAAATTCCAAAGTCCAAATTTGGGCTCCCAGATACTCATATTCGGTTGGAGATGTACGTTATTCAAAATTGGATGACTCTAGGTAACGTTGTTTTATCACAGTGCGAGAAACACACATACAATTATGCAGATTCTTCATTATTTAATTTCTTTAAATATAATACATAATTAAAATATTTGGTGGCAACAATCTGAAAAGTGAAACGCCTCTTATAGTGAAACGCCACAAAATGCCAAAACGAAATTAATATCCCTTATGGGCTAACGGCCTTTGGACTAATAATTTTTAGGCAACACTCGCATAATAGCAGACAGTACGCTACATCAAACAACTTTACAGCAATGGAATTCTATATAATACCATATGAATTGCACGTACGTGAAAAATGGCCGCGACTTTGACGTCTTCCTTATAATGAACAGTCTTCAAATGATAGGATAATACACGAATATGTTTACATCCATTAGCAAATTGCTTTAGCATTTATAGTTATAGATACTATAAATGAGACTAGACATTACAGAGCGGGAAATTTGGAAAATCAGTTGTGCTATAGCTGCAAATAAGTCACCATACTATCTCCCAGTTGTCGGTTGATTGCCCTAATTGTAGCATTACAACAGGGCACGGAAGAATAGCTTCAATTCCTTCCAAAATCACATCACAAAATTAGTTCAATCTCGCTTTACAACATTTTTAATATCATCATGAATGATTTAAGCTTGGAATTGGATTCGAATACTAGATTCAGTAATATCACATGAACTGAAGCTTTGTTCAGTTATACCTAGGCCTAATTATTTTAAGTAGCACATTGTTAGAAATAGCAATTCTAAATTTTGCCAGGATTTTCGTTAACTAAATGCATCCTCACAGCCATCTAATCAGTTCTGTATTATTTTAATACCTTAGATAATTTTTTCATATTTAATGATGAGAATTAAATTATAAATTTTATTTTATTAATGAAATTTATTAGACATACTTCCTTGCACTATTTAATATGAAGAAAAAGAGACGAAAGGGCTTCGAATATTTGTTACTTTTGTCTAAATTCCATAACTATTACACAAACCCTCGACTGAAATACACTCAATTCCATTAAATGCGAAACCAGAAACTTCACACTACTATTTCAGAAACTTCACACTACTTGGCTTAAAAATGCTATCTTTTACAATATTTATCGTATATCGAATGTTGCCAAAGATTGTTACACGAATTGAACTGTATTGCATGAATACTAGACCTGATTGCATTGATTATTGCAATAGAGTAATAATGACATAAAATTAATTAAATTAACATAAAATTATATAGCATGAATAGCAGTCCGGATTGCACTGATTATAACAATAGCGTAAATGGCATAAAATTAAGTGCTTTGGATTGATTCGTTTGTATGTTTTAATCATAAGTAAAAGAAATTCGAAACAGTCATTTTGCAAAGACGATCTCTTTCCATTATTTGCCAAATAAATTGCGGTTAATTGCCGCCCTGACTTACTGACCCTTTAATCTTGATATAGAGAGCAGCTCAATTCAGCGTACAATCACACGAAATGGAATGCGGATTATTGGTAGTCTGTATTCGTTCTAGATGAATGTGCATATTAATTTCAGACATTTCAAAACATTGTTTCATGTAGATAGAGTTTAAAAAATGCTAAAACGAGCTATCGTAGAAATAATAAGCTTAAAAGAAATCCTTTTTCGCACAAATTATATGCATATTTTATGCGTACTTTTCTCAGTAGACTCATAGCTCCAGTGAGCTGGCAAGTAGTCCGCAAAAAGGACCAGAACAAAATCTCGTGTTTAAATTCTTAATATCGATATGCAGGTACAATGGGTGAAATATTCATATTACAAGGTATCTTTCGCTTTCGTTATTGTTGTTGCTAATCCTCAACTGTCTGGTCTATAGTCAGCCCAAGGCCACGAAATTCCTTGTGGCTAGAATCGCAAGTTTACGCCTGTAGCTGGCAACACCTTTGAGCACCATACAGGTGACAGCTCAGTTCCACCCCCAATTTTGATGGAGATCACCCCGGAGCACGCGTCTGAAGGTCTTCCATTTCTTTCCCCTACCACCAACCTCTCAAGAGGACTTTCGGGTCACTGCATATTCAGAGTGCCCCCATGCAGCACGAACACTACAGATTTACAAACACCCATGCCTTCTCCGGGATTCGAAACCGGGCCCTTCGGCACGGCAGTCAAGGACGCTAACCACTATACCGGTTGGGCGGCTCTTTCACTTTTACAGAACAATACCTTTAAAAGCCGAACAATATCTTTAAAAGCTAACCAGTGTTCACTTTTTAAATTTCAGCATGTGTGGTATTTTCCTAGAAAGGCATGTTTCTCATTCCCAAACTGCCAGCTGATACCAGCCAACCGATGCTAGCTTGTTTTTATTCCAGCAATGATGAACAAATAAATACCTTTTAATTTCTTTTTCGTTTCATGTAACTATCTTCTCCCTAAATTTTCAAGATCTATGAATTTGTGTTATATAGGCAAGATCGCTCTCACAAAGAATTTATCAGCGCCTCATAAATGAAGGTCCAGTACGTCGTTCTCCACCAGTGACAATTTGATGTTATTGATAGGTTTAAAAGTACAGTGGTACCTCGACATACGAGTTTAATTCGTTCTGTAACCTTGTTCGTATGTCAAACTGCTCGTATCTGAAAGCAATTTTCCGCATTGAAATTAATTGAAATGCCATTAATCCGTTCCAGCTCCCAAAACACGACCTCAGCTGTTTTTTTAAGTGTTTTTGAATAAGAAAAATGTAGTTTCTTATTCAAGAAGAAACTTTATTTATAAATAACAAATACATATTCTATAAAAGTGTAATTAAAAGAAAAAGTGAAGTGCTTACGGAAGCGCTTAATTTTCGTCACGCTTTCCTCGTTTTCACCTGCAGATCGTTTCAAAAAACTGTCCAAGGAGGTTTGTTTCTTCCTCCCTTTCAGGATATTGCGGAAATGAATTAGGCAAATTTCGTTGAGCAACTCCGATGCATGGCCAGTTGCAACTTTGCATCCTTGCCAAGTCAATTACTCGCACACCTTGCTCATGTTTTCATATGATTTCACGCTTTAATTCAATAGACATCATCTTCTTTTTCGGACCCATGGTTATAAAAATAAATGTGATAATGTTTCGTAAATGTACAAAAAGGAAAAAACGCGAACCCAGCTTATCAAAAGTGCTTCGAAAAAGAGGGAAACAAGACTGAGATCTAGTCTGAGGTGGGAGAAACTGTTAGACGCTGCACACGACACCAACATGCGCGCGCATGTTGCGGTCGTGTGCAGCGGTGTAGTGTGCCATTCCTCGTATCTCAAATCTTGCTCTCATCTCAAAGGAAAATATCGCTCGCTCGGCAGCTCGTATCTCAAAACACTCATATATCAGGGCACTCGTATATCGAGGTACCACTGTAATCTTAAAACCAATTGTTCCAAACATTTGGAAAAGATAGGGCTATATTTAATTATGAATGTCAAGTAAGTGGATGGAACTAAAAACAACATTCTTAGTATGAAGACATAAAGGAGATGCAGGTCTTTTTGAAAGTTTTTTAAATACGATGTTAATATTGGTAAAAAGATAATCCCGTAAACTCCGCAGCACGTTTCTGAATGCGAAAATCTTTTGTCAAAGTAAAAGCAATGAAACAGTCTAACGAGATGAAGAGTTCTGTTGCGGTAGCACAGTCGGAGTTATAATGCGCCTCGTGCTGATTGGAATATCAGATCCAAAGAAGAGAGCTGCAAGAATCTGGTTACTGACGTACCTTCTGATCCATTCCCATCAAAGGCGTGGAAAATCCTGTTCCAAGTCATACCTCTATTGTTTCAATCTAATATTCCAAACTGAAAGTATATTCACCTGTGACTCAGCGCTAAAGTCGTTGAATACCGATCATTCGCTCTGAGCCTTGAATTATGGCGAATGGGTTATCTTGCATGGAAGTTTTCGTTGTTTGCCCAATGTGTAACGTGTGTGTGAGCCCTTTTTTGTTAAGAAGCCCTCCAGGAAGGCATCCCTTTCCTAAGCCCTCGAGTTCTTTGCCATAATTAAATAATTAAACCGAACTTCAAAGTAAACATTAGAACTTCTGCAGTGTTTATCGTAATAGCATTATGACAGTGCTGGACTAGTTTCGACGAAACTGCGGTCAGCGATTCATCTTTATTTATGTTCATATTTACATGAAAACACTTTTTGTTTATTTTAAACTGCACAAAGCTGATTTATTCATGTATTAAAGGCTTATATTTTAGTTAATACAGTAATCATCTGATAATAGATTTAATAAAAGATTTAATTTGTACATCTACAACAAATACAGGGTGTTTATAAAGTCCCGGACCCATTTTGATGTTTAATAACTCCTAAAATAATAAAGATAGATTAAAATTAATAACATTAATGGTTAGATAGACTCAAAAAGTTTCGTGACCCTTGTCAATGAACTTCTACGTGTGTCCCCTTCGTCGCACGGAGAATATCAAGTCGATATTCAATTTCACGCCAAGTACCGGCAAGCATGTCGGCATCCACAGAGACTATTGCGGTTGCAATTCTGGCTTTTAGGTCATCCATGTTCGACACTCTCCTCCTGTAAACGTTGTCGTTACAAATCCCGAAGGAAAAGTCCAGCGGCATTTTAAATCAGGTGATCTGGGTGGCCAAAGGAATTGGAACCTCCTCGCCCAATTCATCTTCCTGTAAAATGGTCATTCAAAGAACTACGAACGATGGTACCCCAATGAAGGTGGTGCACCATCTTGTTGCAAAAAGACATGTGACTGAAGCTCTTCTACTAGTTGTGGAAAATACGAAGTTTTCCAACATGTCTAAGCTATACGACTGATGAGACCGTCTTTTCTGTAAAAAAGAAAGGCCCAAGTGGACTCGGCCGTGCTTAGCCCTACACCACACATTAACCTTTGGAAAAGGCCTTTGTGCCTCACGGTGTATTCATGGGGGGTTTTCAGATTCCCATATGCGCACATTATGGGCGATTAACAATGCCGGAAAGATGCCAAAAACAAAAAGAGAGAAAAATGCAATAATAAGCAGACGATATTTAGAAAAAGTACAGATATTTAGACTGGAAATGAAATTATCTGAAAATTAAACCACACGCGCAGACGATATTCGAAAGTAAAGATATCAAACCGAAAAGGAAATTATATTAAGTTATCTCCATCAATAAATGCCATAAGTTTGTTTATATCTTCATTATTTTATGAGTTATTAAACATCAAAATGGGTCCGGGACTTTATAAACACCCTGTACAATTTTACTCTCCGAATGCTTTCTTTTTCGTTCTTTATTACTTTTAATTTTCAATATATATTTTGAATTTTTCTCTAAGAAAAAGTACTTTATTTGTAGATATGAGCCGAATAGGAGAAATATGTACAGAGTTGCTGCAGTATTACAATCAGCCATGCGAGTAAGTGTTCCATTCCATTTAAATTTTCAGCTACAAATTTTGCATTATAATCACTTTAATATAATTGTAATTATGTATAAGAAAACGTATTTAAAAACAACTTCCTTTGAAACTAATTCTTTTAACGCTGAATTGTCTGAAATTGAGTGTTTGTCCTGGGTATCAGTCTTATTACCACAAAGAGCAGCTGAATAAACTTGAACTTTACCAGATGTTTCATACTGAATGGAATAAAACGAATAGCTTAGTATAAGTTCTGTAGCTTATTTATTAAGCCGAAACAAATTAATTCTAAAACTACAATTATAAATCTGGAAAAGCGAAAACTCCTCCAGTTACGAAGCCGTTAGAGGTACTGCTAAATCAAATTGGCACCAGCCATGCAGGTGAAAGCATACTCAGTTTCGGAATTACGCCAAAACATCTTCGCTTATCGTCGTTCAAAGACATTTTCGCACGTAATTTTGTAAAGAATGACCACATCGTCGCAGCATCGAACGGTGGGTGAAGCAGTTTCAAGACGCAAACTGCTTGTATAAGACCCCAGCCCAAAACGAAGAGCAGCCAAAACCGAAGTGGTTGAAAAAATTCGTGAAACGTTTTTACGAAGTCCCATAAAATCACCACGTCGTGCGAGTTCTCAACTAAATTTGCCTCATGTAACGGTGTGGATTGTATTACTAAAACACCTATAACTCTGGCCACACAGCTTTCAAATGGTGCAGGAGTTAAATCCTTCCGACAAGTTGTATAGAGCTTTCTGTGAGAATTTGCAAAATAAACTGGAGGTAGATGGTTTCGCCAACAGATTTGTGTTTACAGATGAAGCCACTTTTCCCGTTTCTGGCAAAGTTTATCGCCTTAATTTAGGATTTTTCGGAGCAAGGGAAACCCACGTGATGCAGTGGAACATGAGCGTGATTCTCCAAAGGTGAACATTTTCTGCGCCATTCCCCAAAGTAGTGTTTTTGATTCTTTTTCGTCTTGAAAAAATCAATTAAAGAGTGCATTTACCACGATATGTTATCGTAGTATTTGTTTTCTCAGTTGCAGGCAGCGATTCCCGGCTTCATTCTGCTGCAAGACCACACTGGCATAAAATGTACACTTGATGAAGAATCGAAACACAGTTTATTTGCCAGTATTACACAGAAACGTTCCAAAGACATGTTTACACTCAGCGAAAAACTTCATTAAACACGCTGAAACAATCAGCAACATAACCTACAGGTTATAACAGTAAAGACAGCTTCACGGCAAAGCACTAAGCACAGCTCCCGACTCGTTCGATCGCTCTCAAGCTAATCTCTGAGCTCAAGACACTACTACAATACTGAATTCAAGATACTTTAATCTCTGCGTACAAGCATGGTATATATAGCTTATTTTATTAAGCCGAAACAAATTAATATTCGAGAATATTCCCAAGAAAACCGCTAAGAAAGCGTTCTATAATGTTCTCGTTCCGTCTGTGGCATATCGCCAAATGGACGATTTCGCGCCAAATCTCCCAACCTTGCCTTTTTCTGTCCCTTCCTGGCAACCCTAAACCCGTTTTCCTGGCAACCATAGCTGGCCATTTTGCAGCAGTATGTTTTAAATGTATCAAAATACACGAAATGCAAATTAATAAGTATCCTTTCTTTCAGCTTTATTACTTACGACATGCAAATCGAAGAGAAGCTGGTCTACGTAGAAAAGGTTTTGGTAAGTACCATGATTTTAATATTTTCTTAATTTAATTTAGCTTTCTTTGAGCACATATTTTTCAGGTTTTCTTGCGCACGTATTTTCTACAGCTAATTACGTTTTGTACAAATTTACTATCAAGTATAATGTCACCTCAAATTTTTTATTACCTTATTTGGTTCAATTTCAAACTGAAATCACTCGCCTACGAACAAACGCTTAGAAGATATTTTAAATTACGCCAATCGTTTTAAACTGGTAAAATAATAATAATAATAACAACAATAAATAGCCCCTAAATATTGACAGTTTAATTTTGAGCTCCATACACAAAAATAACATGTTGGCCGCATACAATTATTTCTAATTTACTTAACTAGTATTTACATCTGGAACTGTAAACACAAACCATTTCTGTTTACGAAAATTTCAGCGTTATTTTTCCTAAGACCTACGTCTTAAAATGTGTTTTCGTTTAAATACCTAGACAATTTTATTTTCGAAAAATAACCTCAAAACCAAATATTTGAAAAATTAAACAAATAGTACTTACGTATTAAAGCAACCGCCTTGGTCCAATTTGGCGATTTTTTAAGATAAAAATATAAACGTTGCTAATGACTGCAAGTTGGCAGTTTTCGCGTCTTTTTTTAGAAAGGTTCCTAAATTATCGATATTTATGGTAAATCAGTAAACATTATCAGTATATGAAAAGAAAACATACTTTAGCAATTTAAAACACAAATTTGAGTTATTAAATAAGGATTACATGATACATTAAAAAAGTATATACTTACATTCTTCTCCAAATCTTTCTGTAATTTTTCTGCGCTATTCTTTTCCCGAAGTACACAACGATTTGTTTTCGCTTAAAAAAAAACGGAGAATTGCGAAGGCTCTGCTTCCTGCAGTCCTTGACAATAGTGGCTTCATAGGAAAAGCATTTCCTAGATGTTTTCTTTAGGAAATTTTCAACAATATTCTATACTCTTGCAGAAATTTTATTGCAGTTTCTTCCATTGCTAGCAAATTCTTCACGCTCATTAGTCGGAAAATATCACGATTTGTTTATAAAAACCACTGAAACATTGACTGAACAATAGGGTTTCCATAACATTCAACTACTCAGGCTACCATAAATGAAAGAACAACTTGGCGATAAATTAAACAACAATTTCGCCATAATACAAGGGGTACCTTAAAGTCTACTCTACTCCACAAAACTTCCTTTATTTTTTTATTGATATTTGTAAATGCTAAGCTAAACAGCATCTTAAAATGTAAGGACATTCTTCTTCTATATTTTTTACTTATGAAATATTTATTGAGAAGGTTTTATTGTTTGAATACAGTTTTAGAAATAGAATTAAAATAAATAATTTTAATAAAATTGAATAAATAGTTTTATATATTTATTTTTTTCATTACTTGTATTTGTGATAATGTTTATATTTATAACATATTTATCTATTGAATATAATTTTTCAGGAAAGCAGGATGATGAGAGTAAAAGAAGTATGTATTTCAAAAAGTTTTATCAGAAATACTCCTTTTAGTATTCATTTGTAATTATCAATATTTCGTTCAGATTTAATGAAGAACTAATCACTTAAATCATTTGACACCTTAAGCAATAAAAACAGAGATGTTAATCCATGTACTGAGGAATTTGATTAGTATCATTTTCAGTCGGTTTTGTATTCACTTGGCGCCACTTGTTTTCCGTTTAGGCATCGCTCACATTAGTGTACTATAGCTGATCCATCAAATACTTACCAACATCTAACTCGATGATGTACGGATCTTTTAATAATGTGTATTGGAGGAAATTAATAATAATATCGAATGAAATCACCCTTACAAAAGCACTGATATATTACTTAAAATTCCTCTCACTGACTTTAATATCAAAACAAGTGTTAGGTTTTCTTTATGAATAAAATATATCGTATATTCCGGCGTATAACGCAAACCTGTAATTTCAAGCTTTAGTTTTTTAAATGTTTAGGTCTATTCGCTATATAACGCACACCCTTTTCTTTACAAAGAAACTTGAAACATGCATGTGCGATGCTGTTATCTTCTGAAGTCATTCAAACGAAGATTCTTCGCAGACTTTCGATCAATGGTATTCCGAATTGACAAAAGATAAGGGGAACAATATGTATGTAAGGAATGTGCTCGAGGGAGTAAATCTGCAAAAAGATGGGGTTGGTTGTATTCAATGCAGGGGTGCACAAGAATTTTATTCTAAGGTTTCAAGGGGAACATAACTTGGTATACGAATGAATTCACGGAATAAGGAGTGGGAAGTTCTCTCTCTCTTGTCATTTGCAGCCGTGATTTTGAAGTGAACATCGAAGGTTTTTGTAAATTGAATATGCTTGAGTAGAAATGCAGTTGATCTTGTATTCCTTTTAGTAGTAAATGTGGCTCCTGCCAAGCGAAACAAACATAGTGCTGGTTTCAAATGCAAAGTCATTCCGCTTGCAAAAGAAAATGGAAATCGTGTTGGCAGCAAGGATGTTCGATATTGGTAAAAGCTCAATACGCGAGTAGAAGAAAAATGACATCATCATTCTAAGTACAGTAAGACCCCGCTTAGCGCTGTTACGGTTTAGCGCTCTTTTATTTCAACCCGGGGATTCCCCGAAATTGTGCGCAACGCTAGGTTTCCAAATAACATATCCGAAACAGTGTAGTTGTGTTTTTTGTTTGGTGCGGTGCTGTACGGACGCATTTTTATTATTTGAAACATTTGTTGACATTATTGTAAGTATAAATTTATATAATACTATAACGATTAATACAGTGACAAATATTATGATATTTAGTTTTTATCATGGGTGATAATAAAAAACAAGAAAAGAAAGCCACCAGAAAAAGCATTTCACTGGAAACTAAAATGCAAGTGATCAGAAGATTAGATTCTGGTAAACGTCAATCTCAAATTACTGCTGCATTGAATTTGGCAACTTCAACAATAAAGACGATTCTTAAGAATAAAGAAAAAATACTGTCATCGGCAACTGCAACTACGTCAAGCTCTACAACTAGAATTACCCGTTTTAGAAATAGCATTATAGAGGAAATGGAAAAAACGACTGTCTATACGGATTGACGACGAAATTGAACGCAATATGCCATTAAGACAATCTATTATAATGCCTTAACCTCGCTTGATTTTTGACAAAAAGGCAGAAAATTGGAAACACAGAATAGACTGAATGATCTAACTGACTGAGAATTTTATTTGTTTTTATAAGTATATTCGTTTATATTGTTTTCATTTTTGTAAGAAATAAATGTTTGGTTTTATTTTTATTAAAAAAAACATTATTAAATTTAATACCTAACCAATTCTCTATCCATCTTCCCCTAACCCCATTATTTACATGTTAAGATAGCCTCGTTTAGCGCTGTTTCGCTTTACGCTCTACTTAGTACTGTGATGGAACGTATCCTCCGCGTCAAGCGGGGTCTTACTGTAATTAATATGATTTATGGAAAAGGGTAATGAAATGGCCTTTCCCAAAAGAAAGTGTTGCCAACTGGGTCCTAGAAAATCACCAAAATTGCTGCTAACAGCATTTAGGTACATGTAGAAACCAGATTTTTTTAATGCTCATCTTTTCCTTACTTTTAAACTATCATTTTTATATCTGGCGCACCCGTAAATTTCGATCTTATTTTTTGTATTAAAAGGGAGCGTTATATGCCGGAAATATACGTATATCAAATTAACTGCTGCCCTCTGCCTAACTCTTGTTAGATTCTCTGAATGAAAAATCCAATACAATGAAAAATTTAAGCTTTATTGGAGCTTTGAAATATTACGCTCAGTATAGAGTTATGAAAGAAGAGAAAATTATTCCTTTTAAACGAGATATTTGTATATATGTTATCGTGAAAGACTGAAATTTGAGAATGTCGACTTTCACCAGAGAATATCAACATTCACCAAATACGTCGGTGAAAGACCGAATATTTCACTACATTCTTGTATATTCGGACCCTCACCGGTGGTGTATCGGTGTATGTCTGTCGACAATCACAGATGCTATGGTGAAGTGAAAGTGGAAAAGAGAAGTCATAAAGTGCCATAATAGTTTAAGTTGTTGCAATAAATAAGATTTGAATCACATAATTTAGTAAGTTTTTTATTGCTGTTATTTTATTTCCTCATTTAGAACGTACTATATAATTAAGTAAGTTTTTAACTTCTATTATTTTCTTTTCTCATTTTGAATGTATTGTGTGTTTTAGGTTCTCATGTTCTTAAGTTCTTATTTCAAGTTTCAAGTGCGTTTATTCGCGACTGAATTACGGAGAAGAAAATATAATATTGTTATATGTTCAACATTCACCATTAGTGCATGGTGAATGTCGACATTGACCGGTGTAAGTCAGAAATAAGAGTATTTGGAAAATATTTCGGACATACACCAAGAGACTATGTGAATGTTGACATTCACCAGTGAAAGTCGACATTCTCCAGATTTCGGTGTTTCATCGTAACATATGTACAAGAAAAATTAAAAATTCCGTAATTTTTTGTCATTAAACGCGCTTTTCATTAGGGATGTTATTCTTTCAGTTGGTTGTATGCATATCAGATAATAAAACCGAAAAAACAGCTTTTTTTCTTGCCACAGAAAGTAAAGAGATCTTGCTAATCTTCGTCAGATAACTAGAAGAGTATTATTTGATCTTAATATATACGAATATCGCAGAATTGAATCACCTGAAGTAGTCATATGGAATCAAAGAAACGTCTTTTCCAAAATAGGGCATTATTTTGTGTCCTAAATACTTAAACAGAAGTTCGAAATAGCTTTCACAAAAAGATGCTAGAGACATTCTTTCCTAAACAGCCTGTAACGGAAAAGTACGGGCCGGCTCAAGTTATACTATAGTCAGATAATTAAGGGTTGAATTTTGGTTTATCACAATTGGAGAAACTGAATCAGTTTCTAAGCACGGATTCCATGCACTGAAATTTCTTTCGAGTTAGGACAAATGTATAATATGAAGGTGTGTGTGTATGTGTGTGTGTATTTAATTATGGCAAAGCACACTAGGGCTATCTGCCTAAGGGGAGGGGTGCCTTTCGTGGAGGACTTTCTAAGGGAAACTGGCTCGTATACACGTTACACAGTATAATATGAAGGAGAAAAGGGCAACTCCTATTCAATTTTGATCCTGTCTAGCAGCATCTACCAGAAATCCCTGTTATTCGTAGATAACTTCTTAATCAAGTGTTCTATAATACGCTACACTAATAATCATTTTCGGACCTTGTAAGGATCCTAAGTTTTACTAACGTTTATTTTATTTTAAAACTGTACTATCACTTCTTATTTTCTACTTCCGGCCAGAATTAAATGCTTTAACTTGTTTATGCAAATTGTCTTGCTAACGCCCAAGTACTTAAGTTATGGCTTTTTGCCAAGCGAGAGAGAGAAGGAGTTTTTCCCGCTTGCAAACCGCTTGCCACTGTAGTTTTACGAGTTTTCACTCGGTTGTTGGTTGCCTTTAAGGCCAGAGTTTAGCCCTCTTGATAGTGCAAACGTTGTAGTTTCAGCAGCTCGGCGTACTACATACGTACCTTTTTTAAACAAGGCCGTCTTAGTGCTAGGCATTTGTATACTAATCAAAGTTAGTTTTTAGTTTTAGAGTTTTTATCTTCTTACGTTCAACCACAAGTGGTGGTCTTTGTATTCCGAAGGTCGAAGATCCTGTAAAAGATGAAAAAAGGGTTTCGTATACCCTTCCTGCTTGTGCTATCTACTTCACACCTTCTTGAACATAGCTTGAGTAAGCTCCCTGTTCCTATTCAGGATCATTTATGTTTCCAAAGCAAATCAAGAGAAACACAAGTCCTGACAACCTCTTACTTGATTCTGCAAGAAAGATCAAATCGATGGCGCCCATAATCGTGTGAAATGGATTAAATTCCAACATTGTAGAGACATTAGGATTTTTTGGAAGCCAGAGAGATGAAACATTAGCAACCGCCTTCGCCGGGAATCGAACCACGGACCTCTGGAATACCGGCCCAGTGTGCAGAACCACTACACCACGAAGGACGCTAGGAAAGTGGGAGAAATACCTTATAACATTATCTAAATCTTTTACATATAAGTTCAAGCCCAAATACTGAGTGCAGTAAATAAATTCTTTTGATTGAGATAACATGGCATTTGTTATTATTTCAGTAACTGATGTTAATCGAAGCTTCCATAATGCTTTCATTATTTCTTTGTGGGCATGTGAACGCGTACCTATGTGTATTTTAAGTGTATTTGAATGTGAGTTTGGTATGCAGTTTCTTAAAATGTTAAAATGCATGCATAAATCATCTTTATGTTGAACTTATGTACCTCAGGACGTAAAAATATGAATAGGATAGTTTCAACTCTGGCAACAGCTGCAGGAAAGTACTCATGTTGCAACATGATAACACTCATTCACATTGAGAATGCCTAACGAAACAATATTTCCAAGGGAAGATGAGTATGAACAGAGACTGTCGAGCATGAAGCCTTAACACAAACATTAAACACCTGCACGATGTCTAGAGAGAATTGCTGGTCTTCTATCTGTTATCATCCAGCTTCAAAGGAGTACTTAGCCCTGCGTAGGGGAGTACTTTTGTGTTGTACCATTAGACGCATGGGTGACAGGTGTTATCCACCCATTAAAATGTATCTAGAACAAGGAAAATTATTTTTGTTCGACTGACAGCACAACAAACAGGAAGAATTAACGTCCAGCTGTTTGAAAGGCGCGACTCCGAAAGTCAAGTCAGCACACGGTGTTTCAAACTTGCAACAAATATCGCTGTGGGGACACCTGTCACCCACGCATTTCATCTGGGATAAAATGGCTTTAGGAAAACAATGGCTGATACCCTGACCTGAGCTGACAGAGTTTCTCATACGCAGCGTACATCGTTGCGGAGTCTGCATTGATGAAAGAGGGACCCATCCTCTACAGCTAAAAGATTCCATTTCATATCCGTCTTTCATTTTAGGACTTATATATCGTGTAAGTCCATAAGTTCGTGTGCATTAACCAGTTAACTGTGGCGGCCTCGTTTAAGGGTGCGCACCGTTTTGTGCCCCCAGAATCGAGCCATGACGAGTATATTCGTCAATCACTTAGTAAGTTTCGCTGGTAAGATATTGGATAAAAAAGATGGGTTTATTTTATAAAATTGAAAATTTTATTACTAATATTTACTTATTTGCGTTACATAGCATATTACTACATATTAAACTAAAAACGCAATAAATTAAATTAAATATTATACATTTAAAAGTAAGAATTTAAATTCTTCCTGTAGAGTGATATTCGTCGAAACAGGATACTATACACAATGGGACTTTGCAAATTGAACACCAGTAACGCAATTCCTTCCTGATCTTACGTTTGTAACAATGCGAACACCTTCGCGTAGGGTTTTTTTTTTTTCAATGTTCCGGGTATATAATCCGGAACATGATTCCCGCCTAATTGGTTTATATTAGGTCTAAATGGCCGAGTTTGTGTCGATTTATTTCTCTCAAATGGATACGTCGCCAAAAGGTCTTCAATAAATTTGAGCAAAAAGTGATACGCGTAATGTTCCTTATTTTTTAATATGAATGATTCAGACACATAATGTCTAAGAAATGGAGAAGAAAATTTTTATAGTACTTTGAGTCATTTTCTTGCTGTGGAGTACGCTACGATAATCATCGATATTCACTCCACCCAATTTTTTATTATAATCAATAGCTCTGGTTTCTTTGTTATTTTATATCTGTTCTAGTACGTGTCATTGTCTAAGTACTACTAAATAAACATCCTCTTATCTTTCCTTTAATATACGCATGCGAGAGTATACTCGCAATACACAAATCGTGCCGCTTCTCCATGCGAGTATACTCGTCAATACAGTTAACTGGTAAGAGATGCGTGGAATTCCTATGACGCATTTATTAAACAATACAATTTTGAACCTGTGAAATTGTCATCGTTTGACTAACATATTATTCAGTCATCACCCACTTCGTAAATATCGAACGCATTTTAGTACCATAGAAGATGAATATAGATAATCAGTACAAACGTGTTGTGCTACATTTTTATTTCGTGTGGCGAATCTGAGGTTTGCAGCGATAAAAATTAATAGTGTACATGGTGAGCACACTATTAGTGTAAGAACTAAGTAGAAATGGTTAAAAAATAAAGTTGGAAAAAGCAGCATGATGATGAACCCCGTTCAGGACATTGGAACTGTTAGAAAATCAAACGTTAATTCAGAATTTTATATTGATCAACCTGCTGTCGAGCTAAATTGATCGAAAACCCCCACGATTGGTGATATCCAGAAAGTGTTGTTTCATCATGATAACGCTAGACCATACGGCTCGAACAACGTTGCAAAAAAGAGTGAATTTTGCAAGCTGTTTGCCACATCATACTACTCCCCGATATGGATGCCCCAAGTGTTTTCACTTTCGCCTTACAAAATTTTTTACTGGGAAAAAATTAAATTCCAACAGGATCTACACAATGAATTTCAAGTTTTTTGCATCAAATACAGAGTCTTTTACAGCAATGGCATAAAAAAGCTGCCTGTAAGATGGCGAGACATTGTAGATAATGGTGGAAAATATATAATTGATTAAAATGTTAAATTGTGTTTTTGTATATTATTTAAACAGTTACCAAAAAATGCTTACGAATTTATGGAGTGGCCCAATAAGTCTTCGCATGCATCTAACAACAGTTTTCTCTTGTATGAAAGAACTTCATCCCATCCTTAAACTGACAATGTGATTTCACAATGTTTGTTTAACAAGTTTTTTTTTTTTTTTTTTTCCTACGATTTTTCTTTCATTTGTATTTATGTCTCGTCGAAAATACTTTTAGGCTATTCTGATACTAACAATGTTAATTTTAATGCTTTTGCATATATTTAACAGATTTTATTTTAGAATTTTTCTTTTATTTATTTTTCTTTCCTTATTTATTTTTCCTTTAGCTCTAGAAGCTAGTAAATATGCATTTTTTATTTTAAAAAGTATAACTTTCAAAGCATTAAACACTTATATTTTAGAAATAATATGTTTATAGACCTCTCTTTCTTTTTCTAACTCTGTGTGTACGAGCCAGTTTCCCTTAGACAGTCCTCCACGAAGGCATCCCTCCTCTTAGGCAGTTACCCCTCGAGGCTTTGCCATAATCACACACACACTTTTTCTAACTCAAAAGGCAAGTTAGTCCCGAATGGGATATCAGCCTCGAAAAGGCATTTTGCAATCAATCCCTATAAACGGCGTATCACTTTTCAAATTTTTATCGCCAAATATCATCGCCCTGTATTACATTTAAAGAAATTAAATAATGAAGAACTGCATAAATGTGTGTACGTTTCTCGCGTTTTGGAAAACCAGCGGTACTTGGAGCTATCAAATTTTGAATAACGTAGTCCTCCACCCGAACATGAGCACCTGGAAACCCGAATTTTGAATTTGTTTTATTACTTTTTTCACATTTTTAATTCCTTTCAAGAATTTTTTACTAACAAACTCAACGATTTCAAAGACAGCAATGGCAATATTATACGGAATAAAACATTTTTATATCCAGCGAGCGAGATTGTCTATGATAAATTATAAAGATATGCTGTTTTTAAATATTTTGCGAGTTTGCTGTTGAATGAATTTTATGTGCCTTAAAATCCAAGAACCTGATATTTAATAAATAAAGTACACATACGAAACGTTAATAATAAAAGACAAAAAAAAAAGTTTTGTAAAGCCATCTTATTAAAAAAAACTGAACATTGATATGCTGAACTGAGAAAAGACTGGGAAAATAAAAAACAGAAAAATGTAGGCCATAACTTAAAGCTGCATCAGAAATTCTAAGCATATACTGCTATGCTACTTTTAAAATTTCTGTAATTTTGCTCTTGAGTTGTATTTGGCGTAAGTGCAAAGAAAATATTGCTTAATAATAAAGCTAAAAAGGCAAAAAAGATGAGTTAGTAGGAGTGAGTATAACAATACACTACTGGACTGCGAGCTAAGCGAGAGCATAAAAGACTTTGACAATCCCTTTTGGGCCACCAGTTAAAATCCGAAACCTTTCAGATTTAAATTATTGTTATTTTAATATATGTTTATTGTGAATTCAGCTTATTATTTCTATATTTATATTTATATTTTAGTATAAATGACACGTTTTTAATCAAATTATTGATAATATTATTATTTTAATTTCAGTCACTGACTTTCAAAGAAAAAGGGGTAAGTAACTTCTTTAGCTTCCTGAATATATGTATCTAATTAAATAACCCATTTGTTCTGAAATATTTGTTTCTAACAAAGAATTAACTATCTGCCTAGGTATGAATTGTTCCTATTGTGTTCAAAATGCTTTCCGCTTATAAAATAGTGACCAGATAGAGGTGTAACTAAAAAAGGATCTATTATTCTTATTAAAAAGAATAATAGTTTCCATAACTCCTCCTACTGGAACTAGGTTTATGAAAGCTGATCTGAAAACATTGCGAAGGTAATAAGTGAAATAAGATTAGGTGCGTAAAATTTCAGATGAAAATATGGTGGGAATACAAATTTCTGAACTACGCGTTTATTTTAAACTCAAATTGGGAAACTAGATTTTTACCTACCGTACCGAAAGGACGTCTGGTGTATTCTAAATTGATCTCAAGTCAGAACTCACTTAAGTTTAAGCTAATTTATCCAGAATATACTGTACTATACTCGCTCATGAATTTACTTACTATATTTAAAACTTAAATAATTCCGTTTCACGAATATTTGCTGAACATTATAATATTTTATGTAATTCAAATGAAAATATTTCACACGAAGTACACACAACAGAGGGTGTTTGCACATTTTTAGAATGATTTCGAGGCCGTTTAATTAATATTTTAAATATAAATAATATTTTTTTAATGTTCTATCTGAGTACCCTGATAAAAATGCCCCATAGAAACCAGTAAACCTTTTTATGGGTTTCTATTGACGTTTACTGGTTTCTGTGGTATTTTCTTACTGGTTTCAAAATGTCCATAAAGAAAACCAGTGAAACTTTCAACTGGTACCTATAGATTTCGTTTATGGTGCCTACAGTTCTACAGGTTTCTACAGAGATTTGGCCTACTCGTATCCGTATAGTCGTACAGGTTTCTGTTTATAGGTTTTTTGCGGGGATTTGGCCTATGGATACCCTAACAGTTATACGCGTTTCTGTTTATGAATTGGGGATTTGGCCTACGGGTACCCGTACGGGTTTCTTTCTCTGGGTTTTTACGGGGACCGGTAGGCCAATTCCCCTTAAAGAAAATTTTATGGGTTTCTACGGGATCTTTTTAGCCTTTTTTCTGAATTATAAGCCTGAATAGTGATTTCCCTAATAATACGACTTTTTTGCAAAATTTTCAATGCTATTGCTTTACATTCCTCTTCCACTACATTCGAGAGTCCAAATATCGTGGTGGGTTTGAGCTTAGAAAGAGCTATTTTAAGATGCTAAAGGCAATGAAGTTTAACTAACTGAAAGTTACTGGGATAAAGAAATAGGATTTCTCCTGTAAACAAACACAGGGGTAAAACGTTTTCTTTATAGTACACTGAACTGGATTTTAATATTTTCCCCACTCTTCTTATTTTTAATTTCCCGTTGTAACAGAATCCTGCGACAATCATAAACTTCTTAAACTTTCTTTGACGGAACCATGTGTGCACATTTTTCTTCCTCGGTTTTCGATAGTAAATAGCCCGTTTTTTTGTTAGTCATTTAAGAAAGCCCGTGCTTCATCAAGGGTCACAATCTTGTATTACCATTTATCTCCTGCTAAATAGTTTTCATACAGAGTTCTACAAATTCTTCTGCTTTGAGTCCATGCCTGGGTAAAACCTTGTGAACATTTCTTTTTTAACTTTTATAAGGTGTAAATCTTCGCTTAGCTACAGATATATTTAAAGACTCTGCAAATGATTTCTGCAAGGGTAGATTTTTCTCTTGTTGGCTAGATTTAAATTTCGAAACAATAGAAACAGCACGTACCATTTTCGGGTGTTCGTTTGGAGTCTTCTCTCCACGCAGAAGCAATAATTGACGAATAAACTTCCTATAAGAAGAAACGGCACAGCTGAATTTCTAAACTAGACCGCTCAATCATAATGATATTTTATTATGAACTCATATTACGCCAAATTCAATACGTTATTTTGCAGAAATGCTAGATAATGCTATGGTCGCTGTTCTTAGAACTATAGGTGTACTTTCTGGCTATGGGATTAATATACCTTGGATGAAATTCTCAGTATAATAATACTAAAAGTAGTACTTTTTTATATGTTATACTCGATACATATACAGTAGAATTTTTCAGTATTAAATCATTTCCTCTGCAGTTAGGAACACAAGTAAAAACCATTCTTCAACAGATTATTACCAAATAAAATATTATAAATTCTTTTATAAACGTTTATATAATTTACAAATCTTCTGCTGAAAATACTACGAGGTGAGTTAGTTTGTTATCACCAACACAACCTTGACGGTTTGTTATGCCTATTAGTTTCCTCTCCAAATCCGTTACTCGAGGCAAAAGAAAGACCTTGTTTCGGTGGGTAAAGGTTTGACGTAGTCGAACTATATGGCATTGACCCAGGCATACGACAGACGACGAAGAAGAAACTTCGATAATGCTGTAATAATGAAAAAAAGAATTTATGCTCGTTTGTCATCTGCACAGAATAGTTGCAGCCGTATGATTTACATCAATACCGGCATACAATTCACAATGAAATGGCGCAGATAACGCTTATAATCAGTAACAGTGCATAATCAAGATGGTTAGAAATTTGATTATTTGTTATTTTAAAGGTAGCTGCATAGCCCCGAAACCGGCAGGGCAAGATACTTTTCCAAGCACTCTTAGACACCCTAAGTAATTAAATAAAAAATCTTTAAAGGTAATCTCGCCACATATATCTACGCCAGTTTTACCCTATTCCTTCTCTCCCTGTGTTTTCCTTTAGCTGAACCACGATTAAATTTTCTAGTGCTTCTTTTCCTGAGTACCTAAATAAGATCGATACCGGTATTCAATCGAAATCGGCATATTATTCAATCGAAATCGGCATACATTATTGACACCGGCATAGGATCGATACCGCCAAAGGGTCGATACTGGCATAGGATTGAAATCGGTTTTTAAGTTGTACTGGTTAAGTTGTACTTTCGACACTATGTTCCCAGCATCAATCCTGGTCAGCATTCTCGAAATGTATCCGATGGCACGTTATAAGACAACTGAACATCAAATAAAATAAGAATAAGAATGAGAAAATTGGCATCAGTATATCTATGAACTCAAGAATTCCTCGCTATCCACTATCCAGAAACGCTCCCATATCGAAATGCGAGGAAGCAGAGGACATTTATGGAAATATGGCAAGTGCCTATCTTCCTTAAGATTGCATAATGGGCAGGGAGCGTCTGCAGCAACATTAATGCATTGGTTTGCTTCCGAGTTCCGAAGGCAGCCATGGCCAGATATAAGACGAAATAATGCGACAGATTTCTTTCCAGGCCATTCGGGTACTCCAAGAATCTGTCTAAACCATAATTTATATCTATTTCTATTCACTAGTTCTTGGAAAAAGTAGGTTTTGAAGGCTTTCCTAACAAGTGGCTTAAAGGAGCTGTAGAGAAGAAATCCGCGGCCTTAGTACACTGAACTTCACAATAGGCAGGAATCCATTGAAGTGGAACATCTTTGTCATTACTTTTAGGGCCAATTCAGAAGATCAAAACAGCAATCGACAATTGCAGAATGGAAAATCACTCTAAGTCAAACTCTTGAAGGGCGGATCTCGAATCTGATAACAAGACCACCTATGAAAAATGCCCGAAACAGTCTATAGTTTTTGCAGGGCTGGGGTGGATGTCCGCAATTTCGCCGTCAAGAGCAGTTTCATAGGGGTAAATGGGTGCGTATAAAGAAAATAACTCACAATGAACACCTGCACCGGCGTTAGTGAAATCTCCCATTCTGGAACCATCAACATTCACTCGCAAACAACATTCTTCCGGATAAGAAGAATTAACAGTTTCGTAAGCCAAAGCTTTGAGCAAATTTCCATTAGTCTCAGTTTTCAACACTTCTTGTTCAAGTTCAACTCGTACGGAGAAACCCTTGTTTTCAATTGGGGTAAGAGTGAGTAAGAAATGTTAAGTCTCCAAATTCAGGCTCAAACTTGAAATCGCTTCATAAACGCTCTGGATAAAACCACTTTGTGTCTTCAGATTCCGCTCAGGCTTAAAGGAAATAATTTTCTCCCAAAGAAGTGCAGCGCTTTCCCGGGTAATCACAGTTATAGGGCTGTTATTAGTATATAATTGAATACAATCAATATTGGTTGCTTTCACTGCACTAGTAACTAGTCGCAGTTCCTGATTTTGGAAAGTTTCCTGATTATTGAGGATTTTCTTATAGGAAGTGATTAATGGTTCACAGCAGTATGTCAATACGGGTAAAATGTAATTATTATAAGTCGTGTTTAGAGTAGTTCTTGAACAACCCCACTTGGAACCTGCTAAAATTTTCAAGTGATACTGTCTTCTCGAAGCGTTCTCGAAATATTGTTATCATTAGCTTACTTGGATTTTGCATAATGCTTTTTTTAACAGTAACGTTCTAGAGAGCTGTCTGCCAATATGCAAAAAATGTGTTAGAAGTTATGAATTAATATAGTTTTTGTATTTTTATTCATTTTGTTACGAAATGTCCAGGCGCGGTAAGCTAGCGTCACACAAGCAGGTTTTTAAAGGAAGGCTCAAGGTTTAAAGCTATAAAAGTATTTCTTTTCTGAAAGTGCCAAAACCGTCTGAAACCTTCCTTTGAAATTGGCCTTTTAGTTACAGAACTAAAAATGATTTTGGTTAAAATCTACTTTGTCTGTGGTAATTCCAGTTTGTGAAATAGTTGAGTTGAAGTACCCAAGCCTTCTTAAAAAATCCCTGTGTCAAAAAATATAAGTGAAAAAAATGAATATGATAAATGAATATTGGGGTTTTAACACTTTGTAGTATTTATTACGTAAAATTAAAAATAATAATTAATACATGAAATGAAAGAGCAGCTCAAACAGTTCTGTTTGTTGGTAAGCGCATACGCCAGAAATAGCTAGTAGGAGAAATGGTGACTAGTGAACAGAAAGCCTTTTGTGTTCTGCACTTTGCAAAAAACCGAATCGGTAGTTAC